GAAACAGCAACAAAGCTACCACGTCCGATCCTTCAGCGAAAAAGGGAATCATGATCACAATACGAGCATACCTCGCAAAGTAGGCCATGTGAGTTTTGATCAACACCGAGAAACAGTCCCCGATAATGCCTCCTGCCGAATGACGTCGCAGCTCACGGAAGTGTTTTACAGCAATCCAAACTGCGAGACATAGTGCGAGGACCTCCCACACAGTTGCGAGTATCCAAGTAATGGAACTCAGACGTAAGGCATCTTCTGGAAAGTTGATCTGGCACATATAAGTGCCGGAGAGAATATATTCCTCTGGTGTTCATCAATGAGCCCCATGCACGTTTGTTTTCATCCACAATGAAGCGTACCCCCTGACACATGCATCGTTTCCATTATGACGACCACTACGTCGAAAATGTTGTCAGCCAGGAAGGTGGCAATGAGAAATATCAGGATCTTTCTGGATCCTTGATACATGGCATGCAACCGAGTGATGATGATGACTTGCAGCATGTTTCAGCCAAGTCAGTATCAATGAGGTCTCGCAAATGCCGAGCTCACCCCACAGCATCGCCATTACCAAAACATTGATCCAATCCTGTACGAGGTACGTAATCCGACCTGATGAATGCAGTCAATGGCCAGCCTCGGGTAGCACACAATGCAGACAGACTCACATCTGTGGCAGTATAGCGTGGCGATCATTAGCGAACCAGCAAGTTAGTAAACCAATACACCCACTGCTACAGGGCACCGCGATTAATCGGAGGAGAATAGTAGCATGTGTACAGAAGACTCACTGTATCTGTCACCAAGATGGTCGGAAGACTGACTGTATGCTGTTGGTCAGAAGAAGAAAGGACAGTGAATAACGAGAAGACATACAAAACATGCTCAGGCTGAGTATGAGAGATAGACGATCAGCACGACATCGACTGTTTAGCCTTCCGAACATACGCAGCAAATAAGATTCCGAGGTAGCGCACCTAGGATACTTTCAAGTCAGTACAGCATGGCAATCACGACAAACAAGATACATACGCCGAGATACAGGAACGTCATCAGAGACCAACGTTGCATCTGTAATTGAGTGTACTTTCATGTGTGTTCCCTTGACATGAGACTGTACTCACCCAGACCAATTCGACCTATAAGACCATTGTTAGCGAGATGGCTGCTTCAGTCATAGCATCGACATACCTCTTGTCCAAATGTAAGGGCTGAAAATACTTGTAAGATATCAGCAGTCCCTTAATTTTATCACGCTCACCCCAGTCATACACCACGCCAACAAAGGCAGCAACTGCGAAAATGTAGCCAAGGTTAGATTGTGTCAGCTTAATATTTGACTGCTCTGCATGAACCTCCAAAATAGCTAGAAAACCGAATTGCATCGATGGCCAGCCACCAAGAGGGATCATTTGAGACTATGGTCATATTGGGAGGGAATGGGTGAGTGAGAGGCAAATTTGGTTGACATATGACGATGGCATTCGTGCTAGTTATACCACCACCCAGCGCTTAGATCACCAACACAATACCGAGGGATGATGACCGTTCTTGTTTTAATTGACCGAAGTAGATATCCTGGCATGAAAACAATCCAGAGATGTTGATCGTTGTACATTTGCACGAAAGAAACGATCGAATACTGCAAAAGATTGAGCAACATCAAGAACTGCCCGTGGTCTTGTCACCTAATTTCCAATGTTGTTATCGAGATGTTTTTGCTACAGGTGCATCAAGGACTTCTTCATTAGTTTGATGGACACTGATCATCTTGTTACCATCGAAAAGATTGTCATCTTGACTCCCTTTGGCTCGCCAGCACAGCCCCGGGGAGCATAACACCTCATCTAGGGTCACTCCATAGATGTACATTGCGTCGGCCTGTCTCTTCATGGACACCTTCTCAGCTGCTATCGTATCATTAGGATGCCAAAATGGTGAGCACATGGGAGTTGATTTGCATCGTGGGCACCAGGTCTCATCAGAGACATCCTTGTTGAGGGTAGGAATGCTGTCTATATTTAGCGTAAACCAGCCACGGAACTCCTACTGATAATCAACACATGATGCACCGCGATGCAAGAAGCCCGATGATCGTTTTGTAGTTGATGATGCTCGCATTGTTCCATTGCTTCCTTCCTCTGGGGACTTTTGTCTAGGAGCGCAGTAGAGGCGTAGTGTTGGCCTATGTAGGGCGACTGACGCAACGTATCCCGCAGACGCTTTGAATGGGTTGAATATTTGAGCATTGTAGCCCGCAATATAATCTCATGATCAGATGTCTTGAGAGTACGGGAGAACGATGGAAAAGGTTGGTGCGATCCAAGTGGTTGTCATCGCTACTAGCGAGTCGCTGTGAGAAACAATGATACATTATGGATAATTAACTCGGAACATGCGAATCGTGTTTTCAAAGACTCAAACAATGCTCATCACCCATGAGTGAGAGCGACGTTTTCCCCTCACACTATCTCCATATTAGAAGAATACTACGAGTCCTGGAAGTCCCTCACTGAGCAGGTCGCCAACTCGGAGGTCAGTCATTCGTCAGCCTCAAATCATTTTGAGTAACTTGAATCAGCATCATCTCCTACCCAGATTGTAGGGAAGGTCCAGCTCCAAGTCTCTTAGACTCGTAACCATTCTGCCTACGTGCGTCTTACGCCAGGCTGGTCACGAGCCTACAAGTCTCTCCCAACTTCCACTTTGCCTTGCTTTTTCCAACCCTGGCATATTGACATCTACTAGTAGCGATGCGACTTTGACCGCACTCGATTCGGATGATCACCACTGAATGCACATCACCAGCCTCGATATCTCATTTCACGCACTTGCATCCGTGACCGAGAACGCCTTCCTCGCTGTTGCAAACGCATCATACGTTCGATGGGAACCCCTCGAAGTAAACGGCAGGCTCGACATCCTCAACCCAGCTTCTGTCAATGCAGAACGTATCGTCGCAACAGAGGTGCATATCTATTCTATTCTGTGCTATCATCGTTTTTTTTCTTCTAAGACCTTCATTTCATGCGTTGAACACCTCCCAAAAGTAATTATCACCCACTTCGCCCCCACGATCTTGGGCGTTTACCACCCTAGCTTGCTCCTCGTGACGACCCCTTCTTACGGCTTCGACGCGTGTTTAGCCCTCCTGGCTTGACGAACACCACCACTGGCTTCCCAGATCCTACGAAACGCACAGATAGGGTGTTTAGGCACGACCACCAATTTGAATGGACAGTCGAGGAGTTCCAGGAGTGGTGCGCAGGCATCGCGCAGGAATGGGGATACGACGTGGATACGACGACTACTGGCCGTGCACATGGGAAAGATAGGTGGGGCCGGAATGAAGAACTTGTGGGTCCGAACCAGGTTGCTGTGTTTAAGCATCTTGAAGGCGAAGCTTGGGCTACGACGCGCGAAGAAAAGAGCACCCAGATGAAAGAAAGGTCAAAAAGCATCGTCTATTGAAAACACACCACGACGACGTGCATGTTCGCACAAGAAACCGAGGGTCGGTCGAGGAGATCGCCAACGCTGTATCGGACAAGTTCGAAGAATGGGACGAGGCTGAAGAAGAGGACATCAGAGTGGGGCTCCAGAAGAACCGGCTAATGATTTGTTTGGGGAAGTCGTGCAATCAAAAGAATATCGTTCTGATGATGACCTGGGATTCCACTGTGGAAGTGGTCTGTACTCTTCAGACTCTGGCGTTGATCTTTTGTGGGACATGAGGAAAGACGACAGGGAAGGAGTCTGCTTGGACGTGCGAGTCTTGTGAAGACGACGTAGTTGACTGAAGCGGTGGAACTCTTTGTCTGGGTCCTTGATATTCGTCAGTAATAGATGCAGATCGGTTTGCCTACTAACGGCGCCTTAGGGCATTTCTCGTTCCTCGACCTTTCCATTCAGCACACCGCTTTCCTGAGCTAACACGGTAAAAATATCCAAGATATGGTTGAAATATTGAAAATGCCAGGACCTAATATACAGCAGATGATTCGAATAAATACTACAACAAAAATATTGCCTAGACCCACTACACATGTCTCACCGAAATCTACATCAAAGACTTTGACCATAAATACTGCAACGAGGTTTGGAATGGAGACAAAACCGCGACACAAATTTCCCTACTTCCCATAGAGCACCAGACAACTATTAACCTCTCGTGCGTCACACACTACTGCTAGTCGATATATGCACGCGCTCCTGGAAAGCGATTGAGGTCATACCAGATGCTGCGTCGGCGTTGGCCACGAGCTTAGCGTGGTATTCTCGAATGCCAAGGATCAAGCGTGGTCCAAGCACAAACGCCTGCACGACTGTCGAAATCTGAAGCAAGCCATAAAAAGTCTGAGATTCGAGGGAATCTGCGTTCTACAGAAATGATGAATCATGGTCGTATGCTGAGGTAAGGGAAAGATGTACATACCGTTGAGATCGCTGGAGATAAATCAACAACGAAGGTGAAGCAAGAAACAGCGACAAAGCTACCACGTCCGATTCTTCAGCGAAAATGGCAACCACAATCACGACATGAGCTCACCTCGCGAAGTATGCCATGTGAGTTTTGATCAACACCGAAAAAAAGTCCCCGATAATCCCTCCTGTTGAATGACGTCGCAGCTCACGGAAGTGTTTTACAGCAATCCAAACTGCGAGACATAGTGCGAGGACCTCCCACACAGTTGCAAGTATCCAAGCAATGGAATCCAGAAGTAAGACTTCTTGCGCAAAGCTAGTCTGGCACATGTAAGTGTCGGAGAGAATATATTCCTCTGGTATTCATCAATGAGCCCCATGCACGTTTGTTTCCATCGACAATCAAGCATACTTCCTGAAATATGTGTCACAAATATCATAGCGGCCACTCCGTCAAAAGCGTTGATAGCCAGGAAGGTGACAATAAGAAATATCAGGATCCTTCTAGATCCTTGATACATAGCATACAACCGAGTGATCATGATGACTTGCAGCATGTTTCAGTCAAGTCAGTATCAATGAGGTCTCGCAAGTGCCGAGCTCACCCCACAGCATCGCAAATACAAAAACACCTATCCAATCCTGTACGAAGTACAGTATCCCGCCTGATGAATGCAGTCAGTGACCCTCGGGTAGCACACACACACTCCGAGCAAACAAACTCACATCTGTGGCAGTATAGCGTGGCGATCATTAGTGAACCAGCAATTTAGAAAACCAATACACCCACTGCTACAGGGCACCGCGGTTAATTGGAGTAGAATAGTAGCATGTGTACAGAAGACTCACTGTATCTGTCAGCGAGATGGTCGGAAGAGTGCCTGTATCCTGTTGGTCAGAAGAAAAAAGGACAGTGAATAATGAGAAGACATACTAAGCATGTTCAGGCTGAGTATGAGAGATAGACGATCAGCACGACATCGACTGTTTAGCCTTCCGAACATACGCAGCATAAAAGATTCCAAGGTAGCGTGCCTGGGATACTTTCGAGTCAGTACAGCATGACAATTACGGCAAATAAGACACATACACCAAGATACAAAAATGACATCAGAGACCAACGTTGCCTCTGTAATCGAGTGTATTTTCATGTGTTCCCTTGACATCAGATTCTACTCACCCAGACCAATTCAACCTATAAGAACATTGTTAGCGAGATGGCCGCTTCAGTCATAGCATCGACTTACCTCTTGTCCAAATGTAAGGGCTGAAGATTCTTGTAAGATATCAGCAGTCCCATAATATTATCACGCTCACCCCAGTCATACGTCACTCCAACAAAGGCGGCAACTGCGAAAACGTAGCCAAGGTTAGATTGTGTCAGCTTAATATTTGACTGCTCTGCATGAACCTCCAAAATAGCTAGAAAACCGAATTGCATCGATGACCGGCCACCAAGAGGGATCATTTGAGACTATGGTCATATTGGGAGGGAATGGGTGAGTAAGAGGCAAATTTGGTTGACATATGACAATGGCATTCGTGCTAGTTATACCACCATCCAGCGCTTAGATATCGAGATATTTTTGCTACACACGCATTAGTCCATCAATGCAACTTCATTGCGTACTGATCATCTTGCGACCATCAAAAAGATTGACATCTTGACTCCCTTTGGCTCGCCAGCACAGCCCCGGGGAGCATAACACCTCATCTAGGGTCACTCCATAGATGTACATTGCGTCGGCCTGTCTCTTCATGGACACCTTCTCAGCTGCTATCGTATCATTAGGATGCCAAAATGGTGAGCACATGGGAGTTGATTTGCATCGTGGGCACCAGGTCTCATCAGAGACATCCTTGTTGAGGGTAGGAATGCTGTCTATATTTAGCGTAAACCAGAACTCCTACTGATAATCAACACATAATGAACATCCCTTTTCGGTAGGCGCACCAGGATAAGAAATTAACGAAAACAGGAGAGAAAACAAAGTCGGACACACCACAGGAAGCCCGAAGGTCATTTTGTAGTTGATGCTCGCATTGTTCCGAAACGAACATCAGCATCCTCGCTGCCTTGCTTCCTTCCTCCAAGGACTTGAGTCTAGTAGAGGCGTAGTGTTGGCCTATGTAGGGTGACTGATGAAAATTGACGCACCGCGCTATATTCAACAACGTATCCCACAGACGCTTTGAATGGGTTGAGTGAGCGTTGTAGTAGCCCACGAAAGTGCTTGCCTGCAATATGATAACATCATGATTGAATGTCTTGAGAGTTGGTGCGATTCAAGAAACTTAAGTGGTTGTCATCGATAGTCGCTGTGAGAAACAATGTTTGGACTCAGATCTGTTACACAAGCACGACATCGACTTGTCCACTTAGACTCGTGACCAGTCTAGTGCACGAGCCTATTGTCCACTTACATTTACTATAGACCTACCCTGAAGAATATAATCGCAGCGCGAGCTTCCGGTGGCCTATGTATGGCAAGAGACTTGGCAGAGACTAGGTCTGGACTCTGCGCTGAACTGTTTCCTGTTGAGTCAACACACATAGGAAATCGTCGTTTCAACATATGTAATGACTAGGACTTCTTGCATGCGAATCATGTTTTCAAAGACTACAAAAGCACTCATCACCGATGAGCGAGAGCTTTGCCACTCACACTATCTCCATATTAGAAGAATATGAGTCCTAAACATCCTCACTGAGCAGGTCGCCGAACTAGGTGAGTCATTCGTCAGCCTCAAATCATTTTCAGCAATCAGTATCATCTCCTACCCAGATCGTAGACATCGTGCGCGGACAGGTTCAGCTCCAGTTCTCTGCCAACTTGCACTTTGCATTGCCCTTTCCAACCCTGGCATATTGACATCTACTAGCGACGCGACGAAGTTCGACCGCGCTTGATTCGGATGATCCCGACCTTCACTGAATGCACATCACCATCCTCGATATCTCATCTGATACGCTTGCGTACGCGATCGAAGACACCTTCCCCGCTGCTGCAAACGCATCATACGCTCGATGGGAACCACTGGAAGTAAACGGCGGGCTCGAGATCTTCAACCTAGCTATTATTAATGCAGGACGTATTTGTATTGTTGTAACGGAGGTGTGTCTATTCTATTCTGTGCTATCACCGTTTTTTTACTTCTAGGACCTTCATCTCAAGCGTCGAACACCTCCCCGAAGCAATTCCCACTCACTTCGCCCCCACGATCTTGGGCGTTTACCACCCTCGCTCCTCGTGACAACCCCTTCGTACGGCTTCAACGCGCATTTTAGCCCTCCTGGCTTGACGAACACCGCCACTGGCTTCCCCGATCCTACGAAACGCACAGACAGGGTGTTTAGGCACCACGACCACAAATTCGAATGGACAGTCGAGGAGTTCCAGGAGTGGTGCAGGCATCGCGCAGGAATGGGGATACGACGACTATTGGCCGTGCGCAGCAGAAAGATAGGTGGGGCCGAAATGAAGAACTCGGGGGTACGAGCCAGGTTGCTGTGTTTAAACGTCTTGAAATCGAAGCTTTGACTATGACGCGCGAAGAAAAGAGCACCCAGGTGAAAGAAAGGTCAAAAATCGTCTATTGAAAACACCACTACGACGCGCATGTTCGCACAAGAAAACGAGGGTCGGTCGAGGAGATCGCCAAGGCCGTATCGAACAAGTTCGAAGAATGGGACGAGGCCTGAGCTGCGATTAGAGGAAATCCTGGTTTATAGAGGAGATCGGAGCGATGTGTGGCGGGTGGTTCGAAGTTCTGATCCAGGCTATTGAGGCAAGTGCGAAGTTTGATCTTCAAAGAAGCAAGGGCCAGAGAAGGGGAGATTGGCGGGCGCTGCTAGGTGGAGGCGGGCTTGCAAGGAAGAAGAGGATTTTTGAATGGGCTCAAGAAGAACCGGCGGATGATTTGTTTGAGGAGGTCCTGCAATCGGAAGGATATCGTTCTGATGACGACCCGGGACTCGACTGGGGAAGTGATCCGTATTCTTCAGACTATGGCGTTGATTTTTTGAAATCGTGGGACCTGAAGAAAAGACGGCAATGCATGGGGGAAGGAGTCTGCTTGGACGAGCGAGTCTTGTGAAGACGACGTAGTTGACTGGAGCAGGTGGAGCACTTTGTCTGCAGCTTGGGACCTTGCCAATAGACCAGAATGAGCGCAGAACACCAGACTAGTGTAATTCATTGGTAATAGATGCAGATCGGTTTGCCTATTAACGGGTCCTAAGAGCATATCCCGTTCCTCGACCTTTCCATTCAGCACACTGCTTTCCTGAGCTAGAACAGTAGGCATATCCAGCATATTGGTTGAAGCATTGTAAATGTTAGGACATAGTATACAGCAGATGATTCGAATAAATACTACGACAAAAATATTGCCTAGACCCACTACACATGTCTCATCGAAATCTACACCAAATACTTTAACCATGATACATAAATACTCTTACGAGGCTTGGAATGGAGAGAAAGCCGTGACACAAATTTCCCTGCTTCCTACAGAGCAGACGACTATTGACCTCCCGTGTGTCACACACTACTGTTAGTCGATACATGCACGCGCTCCTGGAAAGCGATAGAAGTCATAGGAGATGCTGCGTCGGAGTTGGCCACGAGCTTAGCGTGGTATTCTCGAACGCCAAGGATCAGCCGTGGTCCCAGCACAAATGCCTGCACGACTGTCGAAATCTGACCAAAGCCATTAAGAGTCTGAGTTTCTAGGGAATATTCGTCCTATAGAAATGATGAATGATGGTCGCATGCTGAGGTAAGGGAAAGATTGACATACCGCTAACATTGTTGGAGATAACTGAATAACGAGGGTGAAGCAAGAAACAGCAACAAAGCTACCACGTCCGATCCTTCAGCGAAAAAGGGAATCATGATCACAATACGAGCATACCTCGCAAAGTAGGCCATGTGAGTTTTGATCAACACCGAGAAACAGTCCCCGATAATGCCTCCTGCCGAATGACGTCGCAGCTCACGGAAGTGTTTTACAGCAATCCAAACTGCGAGACATAGTGCGAGGACCTCCCACACAGTTGCGAGTATCCAAGTAATGGAACCCAGACGTAAGGCATCTTCTGGAAAGTTGAACTGGCACATATAAGTGCCGGAGAGAATATATTGCTCTGGTAATCATCGATGAGCCCCATGCACGTTTGTTTTCATCCACAATCAAGCTTACCCCCTGACACATGCATCGTTGACATTATGACGACCACTCCATCAAAAATGTTGACAGCCAGGAAGGTGGCAATGAGAAATATCAGGATCTTTCTGGATCCTTGATACATGGCATGCAACCGAGTGATGATGATGACTTGCAGCATGTTTCAGTCAAGTCAGTGTCACTGAGGTCTCGCAAATGCCGAGCTCACCCCACAGCATCGCAAATACAAAAACACCTATCCAATCCTGTACGAAGTACAGTATCCCGCCTGATGAATGCAGTCAGTGACCCTCGAGTAGCACACACTCCAAACAAACTCACATCTGTGGCAGTATAGCGTGGCGATCATTAGTGAACCAGCAAGTTAGTAAACAAATACACCCACTGCTACAGGGCACCGCGGTTAATCAGAGTAGAATAGTAGCATGTGTACAGAAGACTCACTGTATCTGTCAGCGAGATGGTCGGAAGAGTGCCTGTATGCTGTTGGTCAGAAGAAGAAAGGACAGTGAATAATGAGAAGACATACTAAGCACGGTCAGGCTGAGTATAAGAGATAGACGATCAGCACGACATCGACTGTTTAGCCTTCCGAACATACGCAGCAGATAAGATTCCGAGGTAGCGCGCCTAGGATACTTTCAAGTCAGTACAGCATGACAATCACGACAAACAAGATACATACCGCGAGATACAAAAATGTCATCAGAGACCAACGTTGCCTCTGTAATTGAGTATACTTTCATGTGTGTTCTCTTGACACGAGACTGTACTCACCCAGACCAATTCAACCTATAAGACCATTGTTAGCGAGATGGCTGCTTCAGTCATAGCATCGACATACCTCTTGTCCAAACGTAAGGGCTGAAAATACTTGTAAGATATCAGCAATCCTCTAACATTATCACGCTTACCCCAGTCATACACCACTGCAACAAAGGCGGCGACTGCGAAAACGTAGCCAAGGTTAGATTGTGTCAGCTTTAATTTTTGACTGCTCTCCACGAACCTATAAAATAGCTAGAAAAACGATTTTCTTCAATGACCGGCCACCAAGAGGGATCATTTGAGACTATGGTCATATTGGGAGAGAATGGGTGAGTGAGAGGCAAATTTGGTTGACATATACGATGGATTCGTGCTAGTTATACCACCACCCAGTGCTTAGATCACTAACACAATACCGAGGGATGATGACCGTTCTTGTTTTAATTGACCGAAGTAGATATCCTGGCATGAGAACAAGGTAAATCAATCCAGTGGCTCGTAGTAAATGTTGATCATTATACATTTCCACGAAACAATCACTCGGATACCGCAAAAGATTGCCAATATCAAGAACTGTCCGTGTTCTTGTCACTTGATGTCCAATGTCGTTATCGAGATGTGTTTGCTACGGGCGCATCAGTATATCAATGCAACCGAGAACTACTTCATCACTTTGATGTATACTGATCATCTTGCGACCATCGAAAAGATTGTCATCTCGACTCCCTTTTGCTCGCCAGCACAGCCCTGGGGAGCATAATACCTCATCTAGGGTCACTCCATAGATGTACATTGCGTCGGCATGAAGCCGAACCAGAAAAGTTAACCGTCAAGAAGTAGGGCAGATTCGCACAAAGCATCACATCCTACACTGGCTACTGATACCTCCCTGCGATCACGTACCTCAATGTCTCATTGGCCATCTGTCGCTTCATGCACACCCTCTCAGCTTTCTCTCGGAATTTGGGCTATGGTATCATTAGGATGCCAAAGTGGTGAGCGCATGATAGTTGATTTGCATCGTGGAGTTTGTGCGGCAGTGATGCACCGGGTTTCATCAGAGGCATCCTTGTTGAGATTCAGCGATTGATGTAAGATGAAAATACAACATCACCCCTAGATAAAAAGAGCGTTTGGATAGGACAGAGAGAGAACAATGCACAGACGCACAATGGCTGAACGCGGCAACATTCTGTTGATACACCATCAGAAAGTAAGAGATGTGAAGAAGTTGAGGGAATAACCACCGTGTCATACAGTTGCTAATTCAGACTTGTCTGCAATGGAAACCGATCTAAAACGTGCTACACTGAATACGTTATGCAGTTGATGTCCTTCCATTAACTCACGCTTTCGTAGGGTAGTCTGGGTGAGAATTGGAGTGGAACGTCGTCTATATTTTGCATGAAACAGCTATTACAACGACGTCCCAGACTGCGCCGACACCTCAGAACTCCGACCGACGATCAAGATCTGAGGGCACAGAGAATGCACGGCGAGCGGATCTCAGAATACACAGGTTGCGCAGAGATAGGTGATGCAGTTCGGCGGTGTAAATGATAGACATCAGGTGTACCAAGAAAATAAATAGAGCATTTAGAGAAAACAAAGTCGGACACACCACAGGAAGCCCGATGCTCGTTATGTACTAGTTGATGGCATACTGATGCTCACATTGTTCCGAAACGGGCATCAACAGCGTCTCTGCCTTTATCTGGGGACTTGAGCCTGAGAGCGCACTGAGGCACCTAGAGGCTAGTGCTGGCCTAGGTCCTATGGCGACTGATAAGAACTAACGCAAATTTAACGCACCACGCTAGATTCAACAACGCGTCCTGCAGACGCTTTGAATGGTTTGGGTGGGCGGTGTAGCCCGCAAAAGTGGCTGTTCCACAATATAATCTCGTGATCGAATGTCTTGAGAATACCGAGAACGAATAGGGAAGAGTGGTGCGATCCGAGAAATTTGAGCGGTCATCGTCACTAGCTGCACCTAGTCGTTGTCAGAAACAACGATACATTCACGAATAATAACAAATGAGTCATGACACAGGGCCCAGGGAGTGCACATTGGAATGTATGTACATTTTTCTGGTGACGGTCTGGCTGGGAGAGGCGTTTGGTCAAGAGAGAGCGTGTACTCGAGTCGGGGAATAAGGTTCACCACTTGACAAGTGACCTATATTAGACCTGCCCTGAAGGGCGCAATAGCCGGTCGGCCATGTCAAAATGTACTATTTCGCGGGAGTACCAAGGAACTTCCGGGGGCCTACGTAGCGCCCAAACGGACATGACTGTAGATATCGACGATTCATATCCGAATGCACCGGTACCGGAAAACAATCTGGCCTTTTACAAAAGCCTTCTGCACGTAAGGCCATCATGATTGCCTCAAAACAATAGCAGCAGCCTGGCCAGCTACATCATGGTGTTTTAGCCAGCCCTCTCTTGTTGTACCTTATAAACGAATCTTAAAATTCATGATTAAAAAACACGCTACTAATCTCATACTCCTGCTTTGGCTGACTAAGTGCAGCGACCGCGCCGCTGGCGGCTGCGATTGCGAAGGAAACGTGCACACATGATACAAACGTATATGGAACTGTTCCGCCATTTGCCGTCCATTATCCGAATAATCTGGACCATTTGCAAAGGGAAGAAAAAATTATTTATTGTGATACCTTGAGGCAAGGAATTGATCAGTACTCAGAAACCAATCACTCATTGACATGAAGCCTCTATGTCAGCGACGCCCACCATGCACGCCGTAGTCGATAGCTGTCTTGATAGTCATAGAAGAATCCATCACTGACGAAGGATGGCCGCCCATGGAACACGACCGAGTCGGACCGACTAAGAGGACGTCGTGCTCGAGAACTTTGATTCCTACCTGGTACGGCCATTTCATGATGAACCATCAATTAATAATAAAAGATTGATGGTGTATTTGTCGACCGAAATGGCAATGAGATGACCAACGTGAATGTACCCACACATCCGCACTACCGACGTGCCATGAGCACCATAAGTACCAAGCCATGATGGCTGCCAACTACTTGTCCGCGGAACTCGTGGCAAGAGGCGCGCTGCGGGATTCGTGATGGACGGGTATATTGCCCCATTTGAAAGACTACTGACAGTTGCGTGAGTTTTTGTGGAGACCGATAAAAGGGGGGTTATACTAGCGTGAATATAAATTCATATTTGCGTGGCCAACTGCCATACCACGAGGTGGCCAAAATATGACACAGTGGCGGATGTAATCGATGACCTTTGTGTGGCAACTCATATGTAGATGGACCTTACTAAAACGCCATCTTCATCGGTCCCTGAGCAGTGGTCTGGGATTGGCGCAGGCGACCCTGAAATAGAACGTGGTCCATGACCTTTCTCCTCTGCAAAAATTGATCCTGTCGTATCCCTGTTTGAAAAGAAGACTCGCATTAGCATTAATATTAGAACCCTTGAGAGGTATCACCCACGGCAGTGGTCGACAATGTGATCCCCCGATCATCTCGACGAACCCATTCAGTGAATATGTGAATGAACAAAGAGCTGACAACAGAGATTTGAAGCCAAGATGATGGATGTCCCGTGCACCTGAGGTTACGATATTGCCATATGGCTGTGCAGTGTTTCATGTGAACCATGTGTCCCAGGGCTCAGCATCGAATATCGAGGGAGGTCTTCTCATCCTGCATGATGTGCCTTGAGAGTCCCACCGCGAAGGACAATATACGAAGATTCGAAGCTCCTCAACACAGCCAAGAAAAGAGAAAGCATATATCCAAGACACCCTAAGACAGTGACCTGCCAGTGGAAGCATGTAAGTGGCGATTTAATTATACGGAGATCCGTCCCGCACAGCAAAAAGGCAACGTACCGCCCGAGAAATATTTTGTTTGCACCCAGGACGAAACGCACATACGCACAATTGAACGCCGATATTTGATGAAAGCTAAAACATGTAACTACATCTATAGCATGGATAAAATACTAGGCGAAAGTCCGCGAACATGAAGTCTACCACGACGAATGATGCGTATGCCGAGGATGACGTTGCCAACGAGGTTGGATAAGGGGTACATGTGATAGCAAGATATGCACGTAGAATGACGAGATGAAGTGGAGTGCGTGTGATGCGAAAAGTGTGAAAACAAGAGCACTGCTGGGATAGGTGGTATCTTTAAAGTGGATGAGTAAAGTATAGATGACGGCGACGTTCTAAGCATGGTAATTTGCAACCATTAGCGGTCTGTGCGACAGTCAGACCCATTGCCGTGGTTGAGCTTGATGAACCGCATTGGCGGTAGTTACCTGTTTGAAGTGGCGCTGGCTTGCACAGCAGGACAACATCGACTACCGCCGTGGCGCCAACGTAGAAAGCATTAGTCCTTGCGCAAGTTCGGTCTTCCATGAGATCCGTTTCAACGCCTCGGCATAATCCACCCACTCTCTTTTCCGCTCCCGGCTTTCTAACCAGTCCTTGTCGAGACTCGTGACTTCAAGTTCGTAGAAGTGATATGTTGTTGATGGCGAGTTGATGGTTGTGACAAATCGAGTTATGCTGCCTCGAACGCCCGCTGAATTTTTGAAGCGGTAATTTTTTTGGAAAAAAATAGCATGTGATGATCATCAGGAGATGAACAGACAGAAGAGGGACAAAGGTTGAGACCTTCTTCTAAGGCTTCCCGCGAGGCTGCCCTCTCTAAAGTAACATCCGACAACTCCCAACCTCCTTTAGGCACTAGGGGGCAGAAACACATCATGTAAGCAGAACATTCTAACCAATAAGAAAAGGGCACAATAGTAAAGACGCGTCAGTGCATCACGGGACACGTTACTAGAGAAGAAAAAATAAGAACCCATGAAAATGACATGACTTACAAACCCATAGATCTTGTCGTTTGCGACTAGTTATAACAAGGACCTTTCCGGATGTACTAGCCAGTGGAATGGCACAGCACACGACACGAGGGACTGCACGACCTTTGGTGCCCATGACGTAGGTAGAGAAGAGAGGGGAGTAGAGTAGAGTAGTAATAACTTGTCGGTCTGCTTTAAAGCACCGGATGGTGATATCTAAATGTTTTGACTCGTTTGGCTCCACGGGCGGACAGCTTTCAACAGGAAATCACGTTGCGGGGCAAAGAGGTGTGTGAACCTTGACTGTCAACACAGTTCCAGTCCACGTCCACGTATAAATGGGAAGGTTCTGGCCGGAATAATGGTCTGACGCGATGTCACGAGACGGTCAACTATGAGAGTTATTATCAACAGCGAGTGTCAAGAATTAGCAAGCACAACTGTACCTGGAATGTGCTAGGAGGTCCTAGAACCTTAAGAGCTCGTGAAAAGCAGATGCAAATTTAAACAGATGAGTGGCTCGTTGAAAAATCTAAGGATGAAAGGCAGTCTAGTAGAGCTGTTTAAAGAAAAGAAAAAAAAGGAGGGAGTTCAAGTTTTTGAGTGGAACTGAGTCGAGACTGGATGAAATTACGAAGCTCGACTTTCCAAAAATGTACCAAAGTGGAAGTACCACCAATTCACGCACGTTCGCCGGCATCACACGGCATGCTGCACTATTGCCGTAGCTTACGCCCCTGGATCCCCTTTACTCACCTTCGTTCACTCAAAATGAACCTTCCGAGATTCTTGTTGCCATCGTGTATCAGAAGAATGGTATATAAAAAAAATATTCATGGTATGACTGTCTACACCATCTCCGCTTGATCGTCACAGCTTGAAACGATCTGTGCGCCGTAGTACCTTCGTGATATTTAATATCTACATGAGTTCTGTGGCCGGGATTCAGCCTCCGAATCTCCATATTAATAAACGTGCGAGCACAATCATTCGTTCCATCTAAGAATCAAGTCATTCAGAATCACACTACATCTGCATCAGCGGACTTACGCTACAAAGAACATGCAAAGCACTCCAAAGGCCATCGCACCGAACTGCCGCGTAGTCAGAAACTATCCGAAAATTCGGAAAAAGGTTCATACCTCCCGCAGAGCTTGTGCGCCGCTTTTGCTTTCCGCCAGCAGACTAACAATGGTGCGATAAATCATAGGTGGCAGTATCACAGTATGTCACTCACGTAGGCAACACTGCGACGGCACCAATATACATAAATCCACCGGCCACAAAAGGGATAACCTGGGCCATATCCCGTGAATAAAAGAAATTGATTAGAAACTGATTGCAATCACCAGATCCGCTGGTTGAACAGTAGTACCCAAGATCCCGGAAGCGTCTTGCCGCACCCCTGCGGCAAGGTCTAATGACTCTGCAATGGTGCCGGACGCCGATAAATTATGGATGGCGATTCCCATGAATGTACTTGTTTTGCTTGGTCAGCGATCGACAATGAGCTATGGATCTAACAATAATACTGACCCAACCTATTATGAAGTATCAGAATGGCACATGACCTCGGTCTGAGGGGGGTAATACTGGTAGGTACTCACAAATGCACCAATGGCAGTTATGAACTGCGATTGCATAGCTTGCCTTTTGGTGAATCCACTACGCACCAAAATAGAATAGTCCGCAATTTCATGAGGAATTTCGTGGGCAAAGCATGCAAGCGTAGTAGTCGCTCCGATGAGGGGGGAAGAATAGAAGGATGCGGCCATGCTGGTGCCAGCAGGTAAGCCACTATCAAATCATAACACGCGTGCACATTCTGCCACTCACGCTAATCCATCTGTGCTAGATGAAAACGATGCATCAGAAAAAGGCACGCAAGAATCAGAAAGGAGTTCACATGTTGTGGACAAAATCACCAAATAGGTTGAGATAGGCTGAGAGCTTCGAAGGTGCCGTTGCCGCATGGGCTTGTTCGTTGTGTTCTTGACGATCTACTTCATTTTGTTTCCCCGAACCTCGTAATCGAAGACCATCAGGTGAAAAGGAGGTTGATGCTCCAGATGCTTGCGCAGAATCTGCAGATATGACAGCATCTTTAGAATGGGTGTGAGAATGGTCATGCGAATGGCTGTGTCCTTCCTCGCCCCCAAGCACTCTTAATGATTTCTCCATGACGAAAAAGGTAGCAAATCCAACAAAAATACCTAGCCTTGTGTTTATAATGAGCGTATGCAGGTACGTTTCGCATACAAACGTACCCGATGAGGATATTCCTCTTCTCTTCGACCATTACGAAGTGAGCGCCCGGATCTTGATGTTCTCCCATGAACGCATGGGGGACAAGGTGGAGAAAAACGTCAGAAAGAAGGCCTCCAGTCTGTGGAGCTGGTGAGCAAGAGCATGGCCTTCACCCCACAGCGTCTAGCCAACTACAAATACTAACAGCGAAAGCAGTCATCGTATTGAGGGTGTCTGGATGGATCTCCGCGGGAATAAATGCAAGAATAAAATTTGGCACCCTGAAACGTTGTGTAAAAGGTGAGCGGATTCGGGACCTGAACGTATGAAGGAACGAATAGACACACGCACGAGCTGATGTAAAATGTCCCAAGCACTGGTAAGGCAAAAGTTGCATCAGGGGAAGACTCCACTATGCTGAGAACCCCTTGCCTGAATTCCAACCCGGACCAAACGGGAACAACCACGCAAATACTTGTCTCATTATTGGAGATTCCTCATCCTCCACAGCAATTTTGAGAGCAGTGAGCTTCTCAACGGAAGGACATTCGTGTATTTCTGATTCCTGGGCGGTTGTTACACCACAAGACACGTTTGTTCGCGTAGGAGAGTTACACGCAAGATGCTCACCCGAACAACTAGGGAATCCTGTGAATTCTCTAGAGCAACAACAACACTGCACACCGAACACAACAAAAGAGCGATTACTAACGCACGAGACGCAAAACGAGCGGCCATGGCTATGAAAGACGATGTAACAATATGATTGTTGATTGAGTGGCAGTCTTTCAGGGCAACGGATAATTCCGAAAGCCGAAGCGACGTGTTACTGTTCTTTGAAGACACGTCAACGTTTCAACCACGGTCCACGGAATCCTCACTCTCGATGTACCCTAACGCCCAAGAGCAGGGTGCTCTGAAAACTGCTGAAAACCTCATGAATGAAATTATGGCGCGTTATGATCCATCTCACGACGCCTTTCATGGTCAGTGATTCGATATTTGCATGTGTTCAACGGTCCAGATCATGCATCATTATACTGTATATAAAAGTACAGCGCGTGCGCAAAACAGCCATCTCAATAGCCCGAGCTCTTTCCGCCCAGCAACCTGATTTACTAGTCGTGGAATTAGCAGCTCTACTTCACGACGTTTTGGACAAGAAATATGTATCAGAATCCGAAGCAGCAGACCCATATGGATATTTTCTTCCTTTCTTCCAATCTTTATCTTCGGAGCATGGGGTAGACCTGATTAGCGATGGCCGGGCGCGTCAGATCGTAAAGGTCATAGAGAATGTCTCGTGGACAACTGAGAAGAAACTAAGGTCGACAGGAAAGATCGAGGAGTGGCATCGCACGTGTATCGAACTTCATTGTGTACAAGATGCAGACAGACTTGATGCGATAGGAGCGTTTGGTAAGTTCGCAGAAAAGTGATCCAGACGCGTTGGTCTCAAGTCTGCGTCAGGAATCATGCGGTGTGCTGCGTATAGCGCTGCCGTAAATCGGTATGTGCCTTAAAGCCGTGGGTTAACAGACAATGATGAGATAGATTTATCCAGCCCACTCCATGCACCTCCAGGTCGTCTCGACACTGCGGTACAGCACTTCTATGACAAACTCCTACACATCCAGGAAAGGCTAAAGACAGAGCCAGGGAAACAGATGGGCGCAAAGCGACACCAATTTGTAGGTGATATAGATGCGTGGCACGTTTTGATATTTGAATCTCACATTCACTGATTGCGAAGATGGTCGATTTTTTGAATTCCGTGGAACACGAATACAATGCAGAAGCACCCGAAGTCGCCCGGTGACCCTGCGTAATGAAAACACGTTGCATTCTTGGCATTTCAAAGAATACTGCCTGCACATGGCAATCCTCGAAGAATAGATGAAATATAGATAGCTGCTCCTATTCGAGACACTTTGAATTCACTCCATGATTAAAAATTAACCGGTCATAGTCAAGTGGTTACCACAACAGTGTCTAAATCTGTCCCTGTGATCATGCAAACCCTCTGTTCCCGGGGCCTGCTGATGTGAAGGTTTTTTTCCCTATCACCAGGTCATTAAACTGTCACCTCATTACTAGAATGTCTATCGACGGCAATATGTTATTGCACTGCAGAACAGATCTCTTAAAGAATGATGAATATAATACCAATTATTCTATCAAGCCTCAGTTGTGACGTGAGTCACAGCGAGTGAGTAATCTGACCCAGTCCTAATACTTGATTTCCTCCACCGTATCAGTATTCGAGGAATCGGGGGATGCAGCGGCTTTGATAGAGGGCAGGGCCGTTGCTCTCCAGCCGCCTCTGAACGTAGCGAGCCCATTGATGAGGCTCAAAATGGTGACCCAGATCTGCAAAATGCGTCAGTAACAAAAGTACACACTCGAAATTAACGCACGTCGTTTTTGAAGATACCACTCTCCAGAGACCTGACAAACGATCAGTATGCATGCAGTACATACAAGGAGGACGAACCAATGAAGGGCCAAGGGTAAATTTGCAGCGTTGGCTACCAATTCATTCCCAAGGGAGTCCCATCGTTTTCGGAGGTCCTCTTTATCCTCGACAGAAAGGCCTTTCCCCTTTCTTAAATTCTTCTGTCTCGTCAATAGAAGTTTTCTATCCTCTCTTAAGTGGGCGAATTGAAGCACGATGTAGAGCAGCCAGAATCGGCAAGACCAGAGAACTAATTTATTCTCATTCAATGAGATGCGCTTGGAGCCGCGACCGAGTATAGCGGAAAGCGAGGGAATCGAGGTGGGAATCAGATTATGTGCTCGCAAGTAATAAAGATGTTCAAGGGGGTAAAACCCAAGCATGGACCATCCCTGAAGTCGCTCAATAGTGTGCAACGTACGAGTTGGCGGGGGGTTGCGCTCCATGGAGATCATCCACTGAAATATCGGCAGAAGACCTGAAATCGCGTAAAGAACATCACATAAAACAGAAGGTATTCATATGCTCACCCCAAAATCTACCCAACATTCTAGCATCGCCAACAATGCTGGCAAAACTTGCTAGTAAAGGGGCAGTGTGGCTGCTCGCATCTTTCCTGATACCGGCACGGTGCTGAAGTCGTGCGCGCCAATGCAGGAACGGCACTATCAGTTTAAGTGTGTATTGTATGAGCTGTTGAATACATGGTCAGCCAACACTTCGATAGTGCCAAAGTTAACATGTACCGTAAAAAACTTGCTAGAACACGCAGTGAGAAGTGAGGAAGAAGTGACTATTAGATGACTGAACTCAAAAAAGTGTTAAAACGTACTCGCTACCGCTCCAGGTGCTCAGGTACCGCACGAAATGATTTAATGTCTCAGATGATGGAACATTTGAGAAAGAACCAAGCGTAACATCGTTAAGTCTGGCAAGGGTATGCAGTTTTGAAGCTCGCGACATCTTGTCTGGTCGATGGGATCGTCTATCTCAATAGACTTCAGCTGCGAGCGATGAGAAGACGTCTCGTGCGTGCAGAGTGTAAGCACGTGAGCGCACCCCGTGGCAAAAGATTATATAATCTATTTATCTCTCATATATAAATTCTTCTCTTCGCTTGATTGATTTCCTCGAACAATTTTTGAGGACTCAAAAGTTCGGGCCTGATATCAGCTCTTCCGCCTTCTCGTCCGCGTTCCCGTCCTCTAGACAAATGAACAGCACTCGCTGTGTTTGATCTTCCCTTTGCTGTAACTGTAGCCTTGTTCAACTGCTGTTATTTTGTCCTGGAGGCATCGCCTCGGCTGAGGCTCATGATTGGCAGAGAACAGCAGGAGAGGCCTGCGGTCGCTCAAAGGGAGACCTACATGTTACCATATATATGTGTAGTGCATGCTGTATTACCAAGAAGTCAAATCCAATTCGTCCTTAATTGTACCCTGGAGTGTTTTCATCTACATCGCGAGGTCGATGTGCATCATAAGAGTTGATGGTGCGCTTGCTCTTTCCAGTAAAACTTACAGAACTGATTATGATTCAGCTGCGATCTCCATTCAAGTCTTTGTGTCTTGCCGTAGCAGTATGTATGTCCAGGCTGTAGGCATCACAATGCGTTACAGTGATGTGAGACACCTTGATTGATTCACATCAATAAGTCAAAATTAAGATAAAGCAGAGATGAGTGCTCCGCTACGTAGTTCAGTCATGACACATGTCACCCTTCATTCATCTATGTCGTCCATAAGGCCTGTCAACGCACAATTGACAAATCACAACTCTACCTGAGTTCACCGCCTCGCCAGCAGTATGACTCTAGCTAGTCTCATCCGATGCAGTTGTTCACTGTCAAACCAGTTTCCAGATCAACTTCGAGTTCAAAATGATACATTTTCGATCATGACAAAAATTTTGTCAAGTACCGGCGTAGCCTAGGCTGTGCTGCTCGAAGCTCTTGTTTAGAAGGTGCTTATAATAATTTTTACAGCCAACTTAAAGATTTGCAGATAAAGCAACGTTCAAACTCGGAATGCCGCTGCACTCAAAAGTAAGCATCCGGTAACGAGTCTCGCCTCAGAACTTATCGCTACAGAAACAAGAGTTAATGTACAGTACATCCTCCCGAATAAAAATGATTTTCAAAAAAACACGACCCCTATGGACGGCCAACCAGCGGCATTCCCAAAACTCGGTTTTTTTTACAATTATGGTTGAACAATTTTTTTAACAAACATTCCGCGAATCATGTGCTCCACACCTGTCACGACACAGGAGACAATACAATCGAGACAGGGGCATTGAATCTCTGCATACTAGTATCCAGAAGATGAGAGAATGAGACAGGTAAAGATTCCTCCATGTCGACAGGCCCAACACTCTCTCAGACGCAAGGTGAGAAGCTCGTCAACTTCGATGGCTTCATTATAACTGATGCATTTTTGAAGTCGTTAACTATGTCCTGCCCATTGTGGCGTCCGTCGTCACGTCCTTCCGCTTGTACTGTCGCGCGCGGCGAAGTCTTCTGTGGATAGACGACGCATGGGCATTCTGCGCTATGATATTTAATATTACCCTGATGGTTACCAGTGCTTTATATCTGAGAGGCTACGGTGCGTCTGAGTTTATTGCCTTTGATGTCACACCATCCTGAAGACACTCAGTGTTTCACCCTCGATGGGCAAAGGTAGCGCTCTATTACACGTACGTTCTCTATTGTATCGTGGTTCTTAATTGTCACTACAACTGCATATATATAGGATAGCCCAATGCTTTTATGCAGTTGTCTGGTGAGTGATGAGCATGTTGACGGTACAAATGACAAAGTACGCGCATAGGTGTTCCCGGCTATCCATTTTGTTTACAGTTATACGATTGGCATATTGGGGAACCCAGAGGAGGCTGCTCATGTGCACTGCAATCATGTTTGGCGTTATATGGGGTTTACTGTTTGCACAAGTGTGGTGGACCTGTGAATCGAACCCCAGTTGGAAACTACAACCACGTCCGCAGTGCCCTCTCGGCAGAGATGTCGCGATAACACAGATCGTTAGTAGGTTAACAGGTTTTAGTACGAACCATTCATTTTCTGACCTTATTTCAGCCGATGTTTTAGGAGACACCGTCCTTATCTTGGCTCCATTTCTTATCATTTACAAAGCTACATTGACGACCGCGCAAAGAGTCCGGGTGATTTGCCTCTTTTCCACCTCAGCAATCACCACAGCTGTCAGTCTCACTCATGCATATTACGTCTTTACTGTGGGAGGGCTAAAGGAGGGAGTGTCTGCTATGTTCGAGGTGCGGGTATCAGCGCTCAGTGTTCAGACAGACTCGTTGATACCCGTGTTAGGCGTCTGTATCCCTGATCGTCGCGAACTTAAGCGTGGTTGTTACATTCTTCTTGCGCATGCTCGCAGAAGACGAGACGATCTCGCGACCGATGATAGATTCGGGTTCTAACACTATACAATTTGGAAGAGTCGTCGAAGATCCTTAGTCTCAGCGGAAATTGTAACAATGCTTTTAATCGAAGAGTTTCGAGTCTAGCTAGAAGCGGCGGTCAACTTCCTTGAAGGTGTACATATGGTTTGCTCGGAAATGCTAACTTGCTCACCCAATCATGCATTGGCTGCGGCAATTGTGAAAATTAGATTGTGCTGTCATGACTATCTACAAACATAAAAAGTAGCTGATAATCCAAAATATCTGTTGCCTCGTGCGTACCTTCTCACTGTTTGTCTCGACCAGCGTACCGGTAGATCATGAAGATGCCAGAAGACGAAAGCATAGTAGATTCTGATGAACAGTGCAATGCACTCAGTAAGTTGTATCGTGATCTACCTTCGCAGTCGGATGTACCCTAATCCGTGATTGATATTAGAGCCCCGCCCTGAGATAAAGGCAGAAAAAAAACCTAGACGCTCAGCTGGGACCGTATGAAGCACAGCTTTTGTTATTACGCTCATTTTATAGACAATGGCCGCTTCTTTCCAAATAAACATTCAGACTTGGGACTCGAGTCTGGGAATGTAACAGCAGACTTTCCGACTCGTGCGCATTGCGCACCTCCTCGCTTTTCGCCTCGGACATCGGGGTAGAGAGCTATAGAAAGATCACAACTTGTCCGAGTCGGGCTAGAGACTGCGACTTACATAAGAGCTCACGCTCAGGCTCTCGGCGATGAACTTTTACGAAATAAGCCTATACAATTCATTGAAGAGCGACAAGTCAGGCTTCAAGCAGTCACTGCAGTGCGCTTGAGTCTTCTTTTCTCCGTGTCCTCTCTCAGCGCTATTTGGATCTGGGGATGTTATTGTATCTTCACTGCATTTCATTTTAAACTAGGCCATCTGGCTGTGCAAACTGATCCGGGCCCCATCAATATGTCACCAATTCCGAGCACGATGCAGATAGAAGATTATGTGCTCATCGAGCGAGAAGGTGCTCAGGAAGCGACAGATGGCCTGAGGACGAGGAGCAGGGATGTTAGTAGACATTGAGATATGTGCTTGCACAGAGGTGAACGTGAGTTATCTGTTTGCTTCGTGTCTCCCTTATTTTCTTCAGTCTGTTGTTAGTCTAGCCTTGGCATGGTAACACAACTTACCTTCTATATTTTATCAATTACGATATTCACGGTATTCAAGTACTGGATGTCACAATATGCGCCATCACCATACGTCTACCAAGTTTACCTCTCACCCCCCCCCCCCCCCCCCCCCCCCCCATCTTCTACCAATATGACCATACTCTCAAATGATCCCACTTGGTGGCCGACCATCAGGGCGTATAATTTTTCTAGCTATTTTGTATGTTCGTGGAAAGCAATCAGATGTTGAAACTGATGTTTCAATCTAACTGCTGTTTCCTACAGCTGCTGCTCTTGTTGGAGTGACGTATGACTGGGGTGAGTATGATGATGTTAAAGGACTACTGATATTTTACATTCATTTTCAGTACTTACATTCGGGCAAGAGGTATGTTAATGCTATGACCGGAGCAGCCATCCCGCTAAGAATGGTTTTATAGGTCGAATTGGTCTGGGTGAGTAGAGTTGTATATCAAAGGAACACACATGAACACTTGATCACAGAGGCAACGCTGGTCTCTAATGACAGTTCTGTATCTCAGTGTATGTAGCTCTAAGTTGTTTGTCGCGATTGCCATGTTGACTTGAGAATATCCTAGGTGCGCTACCTTGGAATCGTCTTTGCTGCGTATGTTCGGAATGTTATACAGTCAGCGTTGTGCTAATCGTCTATCTCTCATAATCAGGGTGATCATGTTGGGTATGTCTCCTTAGTACCTTCGTTGTCTTTGCTTCTCCTGATCAGCAGCATACAGGCGGTATTCAGGTGATCCCGCTGACAGATACAGTGAGTCTTCTGCATATATGTTTGCTATTCCTTCATAATTAACCACGATGCCCTGTAGGAGTGAGTGTGGTTCTTTATTAACTTCTTTGTTTACTAATGACTGCCGCCTTGCATGGCCACAGATGTAAGTCTGTTTCGAGTGTGTGCCATCCGAAGCTGGTCGCGCCGTCACTGATTGGATTCGTCAGGCTTTATTATGTACGCCGTACGAGATTGGATGAGTGTTTTGGTATTTGCAATGCTATGGGGTGAGCTTAGCACTTGCAAGATCTCAGTGACATCGACTGGACTGAAATATGTTGCAAGTTATCATGATCACTCGATTATATGCCATGTATCAACGATCCAGGAAGATCCTGATATATCTCGTTGTCACTTTCCTGGCTGTGAACATTTTCACCGGGGTGGTCACCTTAATGATAACCCTGCATGCTTCAGCGGGTACGCTTGATTGTGGATAAAAATAAACTACACGGAACTCATTGACGAACAACAGAGGCACTCATTCTCTCTGGCACTTATCAATGCTCACTTCGCTACGCGAAAGATTCACTTCTGGATTCTATTGCTTGGATGCTCACCACTGTGTGGGAGGTCCTCGCACTGTGTCTTGCAGGTTGGATTGCGATAAAACGCTTTCGTGAATTGCGACAACATTCGGCAGAAGGGATTATCGAGGACTGTTTCACTGTGTTGATGAAAACTCACGTGCTTTACTTCGCGAGGTGAGCTCGTATTGTGAATGTGTTTCTTCTTTTGATGAAGCTTAAGGTTGACCTGCTAGTTTTATTGCTGTTTCTTGCTTACAGCTCATTATTAATTTCTCTTCGATACCCTCGAGGGTATGTCAACCTTTCGCTTATCTGTGCATGCTACCACAATTTATCATTTCTATAGGAATATTCTGTGGATGCCCAGCTTTATGTTGGGTTTCTTCAGATTTTCTCAGTTGTGCAGATGTTTGTGCTGGGACCACGTCTGATCATCAGTATCCGAGAATATCACGCTAAGCTCGTGGCCGACTCCGATGCTGTAACTGACATGACCTCAATCGCTTTCCAAGAGCGTGCGCATATATTGACCGGCAGTAGTGTGTGATGTTCGGCGAAGTTAACGGTTGTCTAGTGCTTGAAAGGAGCAGGGGAATTTACTTATATTTATTCCTACTTTTGACGAAGTTTATCTGTTGTTCCAAAGTAGATTTCAAGAGACATAAGAACATAATTGAAGGTCAGACCCGATTGAAATTCAACTGCTGCACGCCTTGTCTCCGATGTAGCAAAAGTGAATGAATCAAGTCAACACACCTGGTATCGCCGAAATAGAGGGGACAAACCAAGGCAAATGATAAAAAGCTGCGGTCACCCAGCAGTTCATCCTAGTAGTAAACAACGGAACAAGTTCAATGCAGCCTCGATACCCGCAGGTTTCACAGCGCTTCCCCAGGCTACACAGTGGTTAGTCGATTCAAACTAGTCATCAATGCCATGCTCATGAATTGTACCAGAAGGTTCCTGTGTTGGTTGCACCAAGTTATGGCGGCGTCGGCATGCTTCTCGGCAGCGTTGTGAACCTTCAGGTGAGCCAGCGAACTGAGCCCAATTGGCAAGGATTGAGCAGTCCTAATTGGATATTGATATTGAATATTGAGCGTCGATCGGGCAATCAATCAAGTTTCATAGTCGACATGAGTAAGTCGTGTGCTCTCTCAGCGGGATGTCATTGTGCAGTGATGCGATGCTCTCGGCCAAGTCTCTGAGTTGAATAAGCACTTCTCGCCAGCAAACACTCCTATATATTCAGAGAGCTTTGAGTTGTATGCCGCAAGAACAGCTATCTTGGACAACATCCGCGGTTCTTCGGCGAGGTGGTCGGCTTGGCTGGGCACACTCAACATCGCTCGAGCAACCATAAACAATACCTCGAAGCGCCTCTTAGTCCCACACTAAGTGGCACCCCGAATCAGGACCCCAGACACCACACCAGGACATCGTGCCCAACGGTGCCTACGTCGCCCAACGGCGTCACCAATCGAACCTATTTCTCCTCAAAACCCCTCAAAAAACCCAAAAAACAACTTCTGGATACTAACTTTTTAGCATATGGCGCCCAGTAAAGCGCCAGAGAAAAAGGGCCAACCGGCTACCTTAACTAATACAACCATTCGCAACACCACTACCCCAAGGAATCAGATGTCGCAAGAGGATATCGAGGCATTACCAGGAGCTGTGACAGGTCTGGAATCGGCAGAGAAGTATCTAACTAGTGTCCTCCTTCGCCAGGCTGACGAACCCCTCTCCCCACTTCATCTGGCGGGAGTCCTTTTCAAGTCACCCAAATGGCCAAACCTATCCCGCTCGCCGTCACCAATGCCATCCGGGCTGTGGCTTTCATTCTCAAACAGCACGCTGCCTCAGAAATTGCAGAAGTGGTCGCAAAAATCGCAGCTGAACAACTCGCGGATTCTCTTTCGGCCAACATCATCAATAACGTCATAGCAGCAATTGCCCCCCAAGTAGCGTCCATACACACCACCGCAGAGGCCCTAAAGACAACATTTGACCACTCGAAGCAACTTCACGACACCATGGAATGGGAGAAAGAGGAAGAAAGGAATGATCTCAAAACAGCAGCTGAACGCATCGAGGACGCAGTGGACACTCTCTATGAGTCCATTGAGGACTGTAACAACTCCTACAAGCTTCTCACACCATCCCTCGAATTCACCCAGGACCGTCTCAACAACCTTGCGACTCAACTATCCCAGCCCCTTCCCACTATCACGCAGCCAACAGCACCCATCCCAGCCCTCCCCACCTACAGTTCAGTAGCGGCTGCCAATATTCCCCCCTCCATCGACCAAGCGGTAGCTAGAGCGTCCATTCGCACCAAACAAATCCTGCTCGACCCAACATCAGGACACTCCCTCTTCCCCGCAGACACCACCAATGCCTTTATCGCCAAACGACTTTCCGACATCCTCCTTGACATTCGCAGCGAGGGAACTCCCACAGGAACAGTCCGTGCAGTTCAGCGTCTCCGCAATGGAGGCCTGATAGTGGAACTCGACAATGAGAACTTGGCGGGCTGGCTTAAGGGCCCTACAGGCCGTATACTGCTCGAATCCCACTTAGACTCGACAGCATGCATTTGGGACAGGACCTTCTCCATCGTGATACAATTTCTGCTGATCACTTACGAGATCGAACGTGACGACTTCCCTCGTCACATTGAAGCTGAGAACCATCTCCCTCCCAACTCGATAGCATCCATCCGATGGATTAAGCCTCCCCAGCATCGCACAAGAGAGCAATGCACTGCCTTCGCACTCCTTCAGGTCAAGGATGTCGAAACTGCTAACAACATCCTCAAGGAGGGCATCTGTATTGATGCCCATCGTTATGCCGTCAACAAGGACCATAAGGAACCCCTCCGTTGCGCCAAATGCCAAAAGTTCGGACACATGGCTCGCAACTGCTCCTCCCCCCACGATATCTGCGGCACCTGCAGCGGCCGTCATAGGACCGCACAATGCAACGCGTTCCGAACTGAATGCTGCATGAGTTGCAAGAGCCAAAGTCACACCAGTTGGAGTCGCAAATGTCCGGAGTTCATCCGTCGCTGCAAAACTCTGGATGAACAATATCCAGAGAACAAACTCCCCTTCTTCCCTACCAGCTCCTCCTGGCTCCCGTCCACTACCCCTCCTAGGCCATCAAACACACCACCCTCTCGCTCTGTATCCCCCCGCAATGCGAAATCCAGCTCCCCACCACCCGCAGATGATACAATCCAGCCCTTGCCCAACCTGCAAACCACTCTCCCCTTCAAACACGTCAACCCTCCACAAACGCCTGAGCCCGCCTCGTCCTCCTCAATTATCTCGACCTCTCCGGTTACTCCAACTCCCATCACCACTCTGACACCATCAACCCCCTCAACGTCTTCGCCTCCTTCCGCCATCGCCTCCACATCACCATCCACCCCATCATCGGCATCGTTGACATCCCCCTCTCCCTCTTCGACGTCTACCTATGCGACTCCTACCGCCAGCCCCAACTCTCCCCTCCTTGATGTCTGAACAACCTATCCCCACCCCGAATTGTCTTAATATATGGCAGCAGAACCTGAACGCGTCACTAGCGGCTCAGGAATCACTAATGAACAGCCAGGATATCACTAACTACGACCTTTTAATTATTCAGGAACCATATATCAATTATCTTCGCAACACCCGCGCCAGCCACCGCTGGCATGTACTATACCCCCACTAACACATCTCACACACCCGCAGGAAAAATCACGTGCAATCACCTTGTCAACACATCGCTCGACACGAACACATGGCGGTGTTGTACGACTTGGATGGTATCTGTTGGCGACGCTCAACAGAGCTTGTGTCGTCACGGTCTGTGGACTATTTTGAACATTACAACGACTGTACCCACCAAAACACCCTAATCGCCCTGGAGGCCTTTCTTGGCCAGAATATTGCCCTACTCCGACCAAAGGCGGAACCAAATGCTCTGGCTTGGCGATTTCAATCGCCACCACCCCATGTGGGAAGATATTCGTAATCGCCATCTATTTAATTATCGTTTCTCTCAACCCCTTATTGACCTGATCGCTGATTATGGTATGCTACAGTTACTTCCGTGCGGCATCCCCACCCTCCAAGCCAATGCCACTGGCAATTGGACTCGCCCTGACAACGTCCTCGGCACTGAAGGCACTCTCGATGCCGTCATCACCTGCAATACCGAGCCAGCAAAACGGGGCCCTAAAACGGATCACCTCCCTATTTTATTAACACTCGAACTTGCAGTCGCTCGTCAGGATGACGTCCCTCGTCCCAATTGGGCGAGGTCGATTGGGAAGCATTTAGAGAAGCCCTCAGCGCCACGCTCGCATCCACCCCTCCACTACCGCTCGCCTCGGAGGCGGAATTCCAGCAAATGGCCAGAATCGTCACACGAGCCATCACGTCCACCGCTGAAGCCTGCGTCCCATTGGCCAAACCCTGCCCACACTCCAAGCGGTGGTGGACCCGTACCCTCTCCGACTTGCGCAAGCAAGTCGCGAAACTCAGTCGCAAGTCCCACCAGATGCGTGGCCTTCAAGACCATCCATGCCACCGGGAATACAAGGCCCTCAAAAACCGTTACGCTGATGAAATTGCCGCCACCAAGAAACAGCACTGGGAGGAGTGGTTAGAGGATATCGAGGGTAACGATCTTTGGACCGCTAACCGCTACGTTTCCGCTACCCCGAGCGATGGGGGGAAATCGCGCATACCCTCCCTTATCGCCAAGAGACCAGACGGCACCAATTTCGAGCTACCACTAACGCCGAAAAGAGTGCTGTCATCGCCGAAGCCTTCTTCCCTCCTCCTCCTCTTACTGATTCAATCCCTACTGACTTCATTTACCCTGACCCCGTAGCCCCCCACTCTCCCATCTCACACGACCAGATAACTCGCGCCATCTCGAAACTCAGCGGGTATAAGGCCCCGGGGCCTGATGGCATCCGCAATATTGTATTCAAGAACTGTTCTGACATACTGAACTCCCATACCTAGTTCATCTTTTTAATGGCCGTCTTCACTTACAACACATATTATGCCCCCTTGGAAGACATTCACAACGGTTGTACTTCGGAAACCCGGCAAACCGAATTACACGGTCCCTAAAGCCTATCGTCCCATCGCCCTCCTTAACACCACATGCAAGCTCCTTACCGCCGTGGTTGCCGAACAGCTGACGTACTTATTAGAACACCATCACCTTCTGCCGAACACCCATTTCGGTGGCCGACCAGGAAGATCCACTACCGACTCTCTTCACCTTCTGGAACACACCATCAAAAATGCGTGGCGTTCTCATAAAGTTGCCTCGGTGCTATTCTTAGACATCGAGGGGGCCTTCCCGAACGCGGTCACCAAACGGCTGTTACACAACATGCGGAATCGACGCTTGCCCTCAGCATTGGTCGACTTCACGGAGCAGGTCCTCACGGACCGCAAGACGCAGCTACACTTCGACGGGTACACTTCAGACTGGATCGACATCAATAATGGTATAGGACAGGGCGATCCCCTTTCAATGATTTTATATATTATATATAGTGCTGATCTTGTAGACATCGCGAAACCCCGACATGGACGCGCGTCCCTTACCGAACTAACCCTTGCTTTTGTAGACGACACGGCCCTAGTGGCCATAGGTAAGGATTTCCACGAGACTCACTGCGTCCTCAAGGACATGCTCGAACGACGGAATGGGGCCTTCGACTGGTCACGAGACCACAACTCAAAATTCGAGACTAACAAATTCGCACTGATTGATTTCTCCATGAACAGACAAAGAGAGCGCCCTGTGTTGCATCTCCGAGGCGCCGTTATTCGTCCTTCTCCCACTCATCGTTTCTTAGGTGTCATTCTCGATCAGGAGTTAAGATGGAAAGCTCAGGTTGACAACGCGCTGGCCAAGGGATTAGCTTATGTTCTACAGCTTCGACGACTTTCCACCATGTCTAAAGGCATCCCACTTCGTCTCATGAGGCAGCTTTACCAAGCCACCGCCGTCCCCAAGATGCTATACGCGGCTGACCTTTGGTTTACACCAGCATATCGTGAAGGCACTAGCACCCTGCAGCGAGGATCCCTAGGAGTGGCCAAAAAACTCACCTCTATCCAGCGCATCGCTGCCATTGCCATGACCGGGGCTATGCGCAGCACTGCTACTGACGTGCTCGAAGTACATGCTAATCTCCTGCCGATGGCCCTATTGCTCCAGAACACGTGCCATCGGGCTATCATCCGAATGTCCGCACACCCTGATACTCATCCTCTCTACACTGCAGTCAGAACCGCCGCTAGTCGTTATGTTTCGTCCCATCGCTCCTCCCTCCATCGTCTCACCCGATTTTACCAAATCAACCCCTCCGACATTGAAACCCTCATCCCAGCTCGTCGTGCACCCACCTCCTCCAATCTCTATGATACGCACATTGCTGCCTCCCGCGAAGACACTATCAACGAACATCACGACCCTACCAGACGACATTCAAGTTTTCAGCGACGGCTCCGGACATGATGGCCATATAGGCGCCGCAGCCATTCTATTCCGTGCAGGCAAAACCCCACGCACTCTGCGCTATTACCTAGGCAAGAACGAAGATCACACTTATTTGAAGCCGAAATGGTCGGCCTGACCCTAGCCGCCAAACTGATCGCCACTGAACGAGATCTCACGTTCCCTATCTCCATCTCCGTCGACAACCAGGCAGCCATCTTATCCGGTGAGAGCTTTTACTCTAATCCAGGTTCATATCTAGCAATGAAATTTCAGAATCTCCTACGAAAGATCAAACACGCAAACCCAGGTCTCAAACTAACGCTCCGCTGGGTCCCAGGACATGAGGGGGTACACGGGAATGAGGAGGCAGACAAAGCAGCGAAAGTAGCGGCTGAGGGAAGGAACCGCAATAGCCCTCGTGAGCTTCTCCCCAAATACCTTCGTAACAATACACTGCCGCTCAGCCTCTCAGCTATCAAGCAAGCCTATCGAGAACGCACGCACGCCAAGTGGGCCGACCTATGGTCCACCTCCCCCCACTTCCAACATATCCAACATATAGACCCCTCTGCCATCAAACGCTCATTTCTCAAGCTCACCTCGTCATTCTCTAAACGTCTCACCGGTCTCATCATTGGCCTACGCACCCGTCACCTACCACTCAACCAACACCTGTTCCGACTCACGAAAACCGACTCTCCCGATTGTCCTCATTGCCCATATATTGATGAAACTGTCTCTCACTATCTATTTGAATGCCCGCATTATCTCGCAGCTCATCAAGTCATGTCCCAGGCCCTGGGACGGAAATCCACCTCGTTATCGCACATCCTAACCGACCCAGAAGCCATTGTCATCCTTGTCCGATATGTTAACCAAACTCGTCGATTAAAATCCACGCTAGGTGAAATCTCGCTACCTAAAACCTGACCTTTCTGATGCACCCTAATATCCAGCTACTACTCTACTGTCACTTGACTCCCTCCATAATATCATATCCTCCCCTAATCTCAACCCTAAAGCTCGCCTACACGAGATCTTCGGTCTCACCTTGGGGATTCAGCCAGCAAGACGCGGATATAGGACTCCCCAACACCTTGGACCACCTGTCTCTCAGTCCATCTAGGAAGTGCACCCCAGCTTCTATGTCTCCTCGATTCTTATATTCACCTTACTCTTACTGCACACTCCAACTGATCTCTGTTTGGCTCGCGAAAGCGACCGAGCATGCGTTATACGTTTACCGATAGCCTCTACACAAGCAATCTTACTTATAGTCATCCCATAGTGTACCACATCGCCCATCTAAAACGGCCGGCGGGAACGGCGGACTGGTGGGGTACGCCTTACACCAGGGCATTTGGGGATGTAACGAAGGGACGGAGCATGGGGCTCCCTGACTAGACAGTACTGTCCTACATAGAGTATATCTCTCAATGGACAAAAAATTGGATCAAAAAAAAAAAAAAAAAAAAACCAGCCCCGCCCCATGTCCGAATCCGCACTTACTCAAATGTCTCCCCTACACAAGATTGAAATGGATCTAGATCTGACTTTCGATGACCGTTATCGCAGGCCAATCGCCATTCAAGGTCTCTGCTCAACTTACTGTTTTGTTCGCTAACTACTTTTGTTTGTTGCCGCATGACTGTTAGTTCCCTAGCAAAATACCTCACTGGCACTTTTGTTGACGCGCCGTAGACGCCATCTAGTGCACCCATGCGTTTGCCTACCCAGCTCAAAGTCAGTACTACCAACATGTTGCTCGTTCAGGTCTGCGGATGTTGCTTCAGATCCACTGCACATATCAGCATCTGCTAAAGGACTTCCGGTCATCGATCGGTAAGCGCTCCTTCACATTTTCACTGATATTGATAGATCATCTGATGATAAACCGTCTTGTCTGGGTTGATGAGCCAAGACAGTGAGGACGGTAGGGTGGCTGTCGGACCACATGTATGATCTGTTTTCTGAGAAATCTTTTGACACGTCACGAAACAAATTCGAACGCTCGAGAACCAGCACAGCGTGTTTTCGTAGTAAGCGTTTAGCTGCGTAAGAACATCCGAGTGGTGATTCAGCTGAGTGCTACATGCATATTATATTCAGTGTAAAGATAGTCAACAAAGAATTTCGAATTGAATTTCACACATTCACGATGATTTCGCAACTGCAAACTAGCTAGCTCGAGCAAAAGAAATACGTCACACGTCGTCACACAAAGTTCGTATTCCTCTCCAGGATCGACATCCGAGCGACTCAGCAAATGACCATCTTAATGAGCATCCAGGCATTCTTAAACCGTTGCGGGGCTTCTTTCTATCCAAACGCTGCGGCGAAGTTGCTTGTCTACTACTGCTCCAAGAAGGCTTTTACATCCTACGGATACAGCACTCGCTTTCCTCGGTTTATGGACCATATCGTTGTATATCTACGAAGATGGCATAGGCCACTCCGAGGACATGCACCCAGCATTCAACGCTATGTCCCACAATTCCATCAACATTTTTCGAAACTGGATCCAAGGCATAAAATCACCATTTATTAGTGAGTCTTAGCTCGCACCGCGAGTCCCCATACTCACTGCATTCTTACTAAAACATAATATTTTGTACGTTCAAGGCAAAATCATGTACTTCACGACCATGAACGCTATACAATCTCAATACCATTAGAAAATACGAGGGAGCTCGCTATGAACAGATGAGGTCAGCCTGAAGACATCACTCGTCGCAGTAGGCATCCGGGCGGGAAGTGTCGAAGGAGGGTCCAGTCAAATGGAATTGAGGCTACAACAAGCTTTGTCCATTCTGCTCGTGAGTCGGAATCCAAGGGTTCTTGGGACGGATTTCGTCATGGACCAATAAGGCGCACGCCAGACTTCGAATCTAAGCGTATGTTGGTCGGTACGTCTTATTTGATACCCGACAAGATATGCGCCAATTTATAAAGTTTGATGATGGGCAGTTAGACTCGTCCGCAGACATGTACCAAACCTGTCCCAAGCTATCTATGACCACACAAAGCTTTCACGGTACGTTGCATTGGTGTCTTTCCCTCAGTCCGACAAGCATGGTTGACGTTCGATTTCAGCCAACACACGCACCGGCACCTACTGCTCCGTCACCCCGAGTCAGTCGTACAGGAAACTTCTGGGGAAAACTCTAAACGTGCAAACCCCGTCAAGCACTACGGCATGTAACCCATCCCAGAGGATGTCTTGCATCCCTACATTCTCCTGTTCTCAAACACCTGAAGGATCATTCGGATGGAAGACCTCGAAAGATCGAGCTCACCTCAATCTACTACAGAGGTTTTCGATATCACTGCTTTTAATCTCAATTATATAGGTAGGGAAGAGGGAAATTCTGTCGTTTTTGTCGTATTCTGATTGTTCATTGTAGTTCATGTCTTTACCAACGCTCTTATTCAACATCAGTTTGTTGTGTAATTCTTGTGCTTTATTGAACGGACGAGTGAACAGGTCGAGGTGGAATTGATTGCCTAATGCAGGGAAATAGACACCGTGTGTAACTGTTGTGTCATAAGCCATATGAGCCCTCGCTTCGTATTTGTTCGCCGTTATTTCTCACCGCGATCTCGTTCTGTACCACAGTACAGCTTTCATCATAAACCAGATCACCTCTACTTCAGGACGCACACTAAGATCTCCCCATGGCAACCATCGACGCTCAGGTCCTCATGAGAATGATTAAACGATTTCGAGTTCTAATCATGGGAAGAGCAAACGCAGGCAAAACGTCTATCCTTCACAAGGTCTGCAATACCACGGATAAACCAGAAATTTACGATACCAAAGGACACAAGGTACGATCGATCATCTATGCGATGCATGGGTTTATTGCTGATCAATCGTGGATAGATCAATGCGGCCGTCGTGGAATCATCGATCAAGGTGCCCGCACCATTTCCCCTGCAGGCATACATACGCTGACAGACGATCAGCGTGGAAATCACGACATCAGAAACGAGCTGGTATTCAAAAGCAATCCCGCTTTCGTTTTCCACGACTCATGCGGGTTCGAAGCGGGTTCTGAAGAAGAATTCGAGGACATGAAGAATTTCATCTCAGAACGGGCAAAGGCGACAAAATTGGAGGACCGACTTCATGCTATTTGGTGAGTGGCTCCCTCCTGACATTCAGCGCTTGTTGACTCCCATCAGGTTCTGCATTCCAATGGACGACCATTGTCGAACGTTCCAACGGGCGGAGGAAAAATTCTTCTCGGAGTGCGACACCGGGCACAGCGAGTTTTCAGTATATTTTCCTATGCTTTGCTGGGACTAAATGATTCGTCTTCAGTTCCCGTGATTGTGATATTCACCAAATTCGACGCTTTACGTCCAATCGCATTAGGAGAACTCAAGAAGGAACTGAAAGGGGCACCAGTAGGAGAATGCTTAAAAGGAATTCCTCAACGGGTCGAGGAATTATTCATGAAGACAGGTGTCTTGGATCGCTTGTATGATTCTAAAAACCGTGCTCGTCCTAAGTACGATGTGCGCTTGGAAAGTAAGTGATTCAGACTGACACATGCCACATCAAAGTCGACTAATTTCACCATCCTAGATATGCAGAAACCGAATACGAACTGCAACATTCTACTGGAACACACCACTCTAGCATTGGACAACGAAGAATTGCAATTGTGCTTGATATCGACACAGCAGTCGAACCTGGAGCTTTGCATCAAATGTGCCGTTAGGTGAGTCGCACAGTCGCAAGTCAACTATCTTACTTCCAGCATCATCTAGAGCACTCGTCAACCGTGCGCATCATAATTCTGGGCAAATAGATTTTGAATTCTATCCGTATCACATCGCTCAGTGGTTTCCACATCTAAAAGTAAGATGAAGATTGATTCAGTCCGACGATGCCCTGGTAACACTCATGAATGGTAAATACCAAAGTGCTGAAACTATAAACAGTCTAATATTTATTCCTTGATTGTAGTTGACCATCATTAACAGCTGGTGAGCTGGTGGTTTACCAAGGTCAAACAGTATGAACAACACTGATGCTCCTATTCGCCTGTTGACAGTATGTAAGTCGCTTGATGGTTTCGAATCCTCGACCGATGCTCATGATCCCCATCCCTTGCTGCTGCTCGCCTGTTGACAGTATGTAAGTGGCTTGATGGTTTCGAGTCTTCTACCGATGCTCATGATCCCCATCCCTTGCTGCTGCTCGCCTGTTGACAGTGGGTAAGTGGCTTGATGGTTTTGAGTCCTCGACCGATGCTCATGATCCCCATCCCTTGCTGCTGCTCGCCTGTGAACAGATAGTAAGTGGCTTGATTGTTTCCAGTCCTCGACTGATGCTCATGATCCCCATCCATTGCTGCTGCTCGCCTGTTGACAGTACGTAAGTGGCTTGATGATTTCGAGTCTTCGGCTGATGCTCATGATCCCCATCCCTTACTGCTGCTCGCCTGTTGACAGGAAGTAAGTGGCTTGATGGTTTCGAGTCCTCGACAGATGCTCATGATCCCCATCCCTTGCTGCTGCTCGCCTGTGGACAGGAAGTAAGTGGCTTGATGGTTTCGAGTCCTCGACAGATGCTCATGATCCCCATCCCTTGCTGCTGCTCGCTTGTTTACAGAGAGTAAGTGGCTTGATGGTTTCGAGTCCTCGACCGATGCTCATGATCCCCATCCCTTGCTGCTGCTCGCCTGTTGACAGAGAGTAAGTGGCTTGATTGTTTCGAGTCCTCGACCGATGCTTATGATCCCCATCCCTTCCTGTTGCTCGCCTGTTGATAGGAAGTAAGTGGCTTGATGGTTTCGAGTCTTCGGCCGATGCTCATGATCCCCATCCCTTGCTGCTGCTCGCCTGTTGACAGGGAGTAAGTGGCTTGATTGTTTCGAGTCTTCGACCGATGCTCATGATCCCCATCCCTTGCTGCTGCTCGTCTGTTGACAGGAAGTACGTGCCTTGATAGTTTCCAGTCCTCTACCGATGCTCATGATCTCCATTCCTTGCTGCTGCTCGCCTGTTGACAGAGAGTAAGTGCCTTGCTTTTCTTTCTTCTTGTAATCTATGTGCAAAAGTCTTACATCTTCCTGCTGTTTTTTTCGGCAGGTGGTATGTGTCTTGATCATATCTTCTATTGAAATAATACCGAATAGTTTAACTCACGTTCATAGCCTGATGTGAGCATGTTTTATTCTATCAGATGAGTGGAATCATGATTGCTCATATAATGCATAGTTCGTTGAGTACCCCTCCCTGATGGCTTATTCTCCATATTCACATATCTTACATATTGTCTTGCCCCACGCAGAATGTGAGTCGTTTCACCCTCATACCGTGAAGTGTTAAATGTGTTGATGAATTGAATGATTCTTTCACCTGTAGAATGTGAGTTTATTTTAATCGCTGAAGGATTCTAGCTATATAAATTCTTGCATTTATGATGTGTTCGCAGAATGTGTGTAAACCATGTCCTGTCTAGATCCTATATCACTCCACTGACAAACAATCTTATTGAATCAGCTTGTACGTCCATGGATGATACATCTTCACTGTCACGTAGTGGTGCTCATCTATTTCCAACTCTCGACAGTTTGTAAGTTACCCATGCACGCCTGTCATTGTCCACAATCTGGTGGTTGATTGTTTACAACTGTCGCGGTTCACCAAATAGAATGTGCGTCTCTGCTATTAACCAAATGCCAATTGTCATGTCATGATTCTGACCTTCCCTTTCCGCAGCATGCAAGTACTTTTCTTTATGGTGTTGATTCTGATACCCACACCTTCAACTTGTTGCCAGGCCAAGGCCAAGACAAGTGACATTATCCACGTTCTTCAGCCTTTGGTAGGTTAATTTTGCTTTGCATTGATCCTCAGCGCTGTAAGACTGTGCAACAGGTTGCGAACAGATCATTGTTTACTGCTGCTACAAACAGAATCATCCATACCGGCATTGGTTAGTTTCCCAGCGCATGATCAGTTGTATTTCTTATAACAGGAAGCAGCTACTATAATCGTCCTTGAGTACTCTGCCTTTCTGCCGAACAATGCCTACGACAAGCTGGAGGACGTCAAGTCTGCCGTGGATTATTACCTGACATCTCCGACGGCCGCCGCTGTGGAGAAAGGAGCAAAAGATATTTCTCGCTCAGGCTTCGAGAAAGAGGAACTAGAGAGAAAGATTCTTGACTTCATCCTTGAAAATCGCATGTGTACGTCCCTCGCTTCATTGTGAATTGAGAATTCAAAATTTAACGACTACCCGCAGCAAAGAACTTGGCAGCACAGAAGTAGATGATTCTCGAGCCAGGTTTACCACTTCTTTGTGCGGTGTACCCATACTATGCGCTCCCGTTGTGTACGATACCAAGCACGCCAGCTTCAACTATTGAGCGGTGTGGACTGCGATGTTTCCTTATTTCCAGTGCTCTTCCCCGTGTTATGTACTATAATCGACACTTCAGCTTCAACTGCTGAACGCTGCAGATTCAGACTGTATCGAGTTTTGACGCCTAGTTGTCGCATCTCATCATATCTCGTTCTGCTTTGTACTATTTAGACTCAGGCTTGCGCTCGTCAAATAATCGCTATTCATTCTTATCTTCGATAATGAGAACTCAGGAACTGGCTTGGTGTGCATCAATGCTGGGGCGGACGGGTATGACGACTTATGTCGGGACAGCACGCCGTCTGCAGGAGTAAGTCGCATACAGAGACCGTGGTACAGATAAATCATCTAAGAGGCAATCACAGCATTGTATCATTGTCTCAAGGAAGGGAAAGATATAGGATAGAACAACAAGTCGGGGTCCAAGTGATACGTCGAAATGAAAAGTCAAATGAAAAATACAACGGCGGTACAGGAGCGGTCACAAATGTCATATAAATAATAAGCATATCTCCCGGCCAGTATAATATTGAAAGAGGAATGTGTGACATACCTAGCAAGCGCTTGCACTTTCCAGGGTTTCGTGCATAGAATTTCAACCACAGCATTGACAATCAGATCATCTGATGCACACGTTCCTCCGAGTCGATGAGCCAAAGTGCCACGCCAGTGAGGTAGATGGCAAGGCTTTTGACCACATGCTTGCCTCCGGGAACATCTTTGCAGACACCTGTGATACAACATAAACTTTGAACGCCCGAGGGCCGAGAACCGGCACAGCAACCTTATGGTAGGCGTTTGGCTGCAATCGAAATGTCAATTGAAATGATTCTGAGGACGGAACATGCCAATGAGTGACTGATAGGTCCAACTAGAGGGCAATTGGAAGGTTACAGTACTTACTCGTAATTACTTGGTGGAGGTCTGGTGAATTAAAGTTCGTGTGGTTCGGAGTTGTCAAGTCTTTTTGCCTTATTAGGCGCCGCTTATTTGAACCATGTTCCTCGCGCTTGCGGTTGTACATTTGAATCGTGAGCATTCTTTTGGAGGCAAGGTGTATTTGGATTCGGTTTGTGCATGGAGGTGCCAGGGCGTCCAAAGTTGCTTTGAACCCTGAGTCAACCAGTGCATCATACAGACCATGGCCAGGGCGTCCAAAGTTGCTTTGAACCCTGAGCCGCCCAGTAATTCATTCACTATGGCGCCTTGCTCTTCGACTGGATGCACTGTTGACGTCATCATTATCTTGATGTTCATCAATAGATTCAATGGTGCATTGTGTCTCTACCAAAGATTCTGCATGCAATGATTATATCCGCTCTGCGGGACTTCAAGGTTTGGTTCAACAATTTTCAAACTCTGCTAAATCTGACATGGACATGCAGATCATCTGTGGTCTCAGATCCATTTGTCAACTACATTTGCCCAAACGCCTCCCTAAAATGGATGTCGCATTCCTCGAAGGTGGCGATGGTGTCGTTCGCATGCTTAGTGCGTATCACTACACCCTTCACTGCATCGTCTGATCGATAATTTAGAGAAACTCACTAGCCTTATGAGCTCCGTTGGCTTTGGGGCATTCCTACCCGTCATAAACGACATCATCCCAGTAGGCGTTTCCCGCAAGCGATCAATGATCAAACTACTCATCCAACTCTTCTATCAGAAAGTTCGTGCACGATACGATGCGCAGCTCCGACTTTGCGGGTATCACGCGTCATCACCTCTTGCAAGTCCAAAAACAGGTAAAATGTGTCTTGTGCTGTCATCAACGTTCATCAATGGTGATCAGTGCACTTCAAACAGCATCCATTCTACCACCATGGGGTACGTCTTGATATTTTATTTATGTATGTACATCTTGTCGACTAACAGATAGTTTACAGCAGTCTCGCTGTCATTAGAAGTGCCGGAAGTTGCAGTTATAGTTATGCCAACCCGGCATGCGCGATACTGTGACCACTGGCGTTGCTGGTGACTAGCTGACCATCACAGCAGTTTTCGAAGACCGGTCCTGGGCTAATTTTACATTCCTTTGTACCAAATGCGATAGCGTTAGTCTTACTGGTACCTGCACCGCGGGGATACTCGTGGTCAGTTGCATCTTCCTTCATTGATCCTCAGGGGTATACATCGATCGTCCTTACACAGTCCCTAGCTGTGTAGAGATATGACCTATCATAGTCCGCATCTTCCCTTCGCAGATTACCCGGAATGATAGCGCGTCTTTGAAAAGTTGCAGATGCTCTCACCTGACTTCGGTGACCATCACATTCACACCTTTGATCGTAAGGAGGTCGGACGACTTTCATGCCATAGGCGCTTGATGGCCACAAGGGGTGTCATCCAACGAGTCAAATCCTTTTGGTATGGTTCCCTAGACTACCGGGATATGATAACACTTAGCCTACCTATCAGTTTGCTTGTGCAATGTGCATTGGATGTACATCGACGATTCGACATCCTCGTGATAGGTGACATGGCGATTACATTCTGCTGCCCATAAGCAGTCATTAAGCAACTACCACACAACTTATCGTCTTTGTTCCACATTTGAAATACTTCCAGAAGCATGTAATTGGTGCTTTCATATTCCGAAGAGGCTGGAACCTTATTATGACGCTTCAGGGAATCCACGCGCCACTTCAATAGCGTCGATAAACTCGTAAGGTCTAAGAGCTTGTACTACTATGTCGAGGTAAGTATCATAGTCTGAAGTCAATGACTTGGAAATTATTGTCGCTGTTTCGTTCCACCATATGTTGATGCTGATCAGTGCTGAATCACAGGTGAGGAGCTACTGGGACGATATCGCTACGCTGGAGATGGCCGACTTGACAACTTCGATCCACGGCTCGGAAGAGAAGCAGGTCGAGGTTCGAATCCAAAAGGCGATTACAAGGTGCACTACTTAAGCCAAAGGATCTACTGCATTTTTGCTCATCCTCTGGGTCATGATTCAACGCTATATATTCCTGTGCGCTCTGATGAGTCTTCAGAGTTACGCCATTACTATTGGTCCAGTTGCTGACCTGGTCATTTCAAATGCCCAAGTATCTCCTGACGGATTCATCAAGTCGTCAGTTCCGGTGTAATTTTCATGCTGCTTTATTACTGAGGTCATAGCAGAGCAGTTCTTGCCAGGGGGCACTCTCCCAGGTCCTATTATAACCGGTCATAAAGTGAGATTACTTTTCGTATACAAACTCTCGGTGATCTTACGTGGTTTCAAGGGGGAAACATTCAAAATCAACGTCACCAATCATTTAAGCGACGAAACAATGCTCACAAGTACCAGCATCGTAAGTACCCATTGATTGAAACATAGGAGCGTCCAATGATATTCTACCTCGCACAGCACTGGCATGGACTATTCCAACGCCACAGTAACCAAATGGACGGCACAGCATTTGTGACGCAATGCCCGATCTCTCCTGGTCATTCCTTTCTGTACGAGTTCAACGCTGGCGACCAAGTAGGAACCTACTGGTACCACTCTCATTATGGAGTTCGTGTTCCGATTTATTCACTTGAAACCGATCACTGAGTGAAATATAGGCCCAATACTGTGACGGTTTACGAGGTGCACTAATTATCTACAACCCAAAAGACCCATACCGCTTCTTGTATGATATTGATGATGGTCAGTGAGCCAGACAAGGTGGATTCTCGATTCTGACACCTAACCGAAGAGTCTACCGTCATCACGCTAATGGACTGGTAAGCCAAAGCCAACAGTTCTTTCACGGGCATTCAGCTCCATTTGCAGGTACCACTTACCATCCCCTCAAGTACAGAGACAGGTGATCCCAGACTCGGTGCTTATCAATGGTCTCGGGAGTTATCTAGGAGGGCCAGATACACCTTACGCCGTCGTTAACGTTCGGCCATTCAAGCGATATCGATTTCGCTTACTGAACATGGCGTGCAAGCCCAATTATATGTTCTCGATCGATGGCCATACGCTAACCATAATCGAAGCTGATGGTCAATACGTCGAGCCGCTCGTGGTTGAGTCTCTCCAGATTTACGCCGGACAGAGGTACTCCTTCATTCTTGAAGCAAACCGACCTATCGACAACTATTGGGTGCATGCGGTCCCTGACATAGGTATCAACTCCATGGCTATCTTACGATATGCAGGCTCTCCCAATGCAGACCCTAAGTTCAGGATGACTCCAAATCTGGTCCCTTTACGGGAGACTGACTTACACCCCTTATATCCACCTCCGCCCACGCTGCTTCGGGAAGACGCAGACATCAAGCTCAACATCGTTCTTGGACAAAACGAGACTAGTTTCAACTTTCTCGTCAACGGCGTGCAGTATACTTCTCCTAGTATCCCTGTCCTGCTACAGTTGCTGAACGGTGATGTGTCGACTTCTGAAATGGCACCCAGCGGTTCCATATACTTCCTACCAAGGAACAAGGTGATCGAGATCTCATGGCTTCCTAATTTAGCCCCAGCCGGTCCTGTAAGTCCCAAATTATCACGTATGTGCACGCCCTCGACTGAAACGTGAACAGCACCCATTTCATTTGCACGGAGTACATCTCTACATGTCATCTATGCACATCCTGTACTAATCAACTTGAATGACTCTTAGCACAGATTCGCTGTCATCAAAAGTGCTGGCAGTAGGGAATACAACTACGTCAACCCCGTGTTGCGCGATACAGTGAACACCGGCTTTCTTGATGACTACGTGACCATCCGCTTTGTCACTGATAATCCTGGGCCGTGGTTGTTGCACTGGTGAGCATCGTTCTTAATAGCTCGTCGTCGATGATGGTTGATCATTTGGGGTTTGGGGGCTTGTTGTAGTCATATTGATTGGCATCTGTATGCGTGAGTTATTTGTTTCTTTTACGAAGCCTAAACGGAGTTTTTCTGATTTATATGATCACAGCGGGATGGCTTTGGTATTTGCAGAGGATCCTCATGGTGTAGCGGCTTCGCAGCCTCTCAGTAGTGAGTACATAGCATCGCGGAGTACTAGAGTTGGTCTGACGATCGACGATAGATTCTTCGAAGCGGCTCTGTCCGATATATTACAGCCTTCTTCAACAAAATTTCCCTCTGCCACCTCCGAACTGAACGATATGATTGGTTTTGTCGCGTCGCGAACCTTTCCTTTCATTCTGAATCACGTTTAGGGACGCGTCAATGGATAGAGACAAGCGTTGGCTGTTCTAACAACGCCCATCATTTATTGCGGTTTCGAACAGCTTTAATGTAGTAAATACATATACATATTGACGGTCAATCTATGGAGGTCGCACATCATCTATCGATATGCCCAACGTATCCATGACAATTCATTAAATTCTAGGGGTATAAACGCAAACCCAGCCAATTTTACAGCGTAGACCCAATGCCGACTAGCGCACCTTCTGCATCCTTACCACTCAGATACTTTCCAATACACATTCCACGATCGCACACCGCCGCTCTTCGACCACGATGCGCACAGCTTCTGTCATCGTCTCCCAAAGGGGATCTCCCGCAGCGACGCGTTTTCCCCACGCCCACCCCCCAGTCGCAGCTACTGCGATACCGACATAGTCAGGCATGGCAGGCCCGAAGCCCACCGTGAGCTGATTGCCAGAAACCTTGGAGCCGTGTCCCTCGGGGTGCACGCCCATCATTGAGAGCTTTGGTGATTTCCAGCCTCCGTTGTTCAAAACGATGGTCAGGAAGGGCTAGCGTTCACCGCGGCCTCAGAACCATCACTCAAGATATCGTCAAGTGATACTCACAGTTTCATACCGCCTCGCCATCCAGAACGCACTGCTAGGCGCCCCAAACAAGAACGTGCCATCACCTACCACGCTCACCACCAGCTCGTACCCCATCTTCCCTGCACCCTTGCCCGAATGTACCCCCCCTAGAACCGCACCGATGCCCGCACCTAATGCCCAGCCGAGTGACGAGCCGCCGGAGCTCAACATGCCCGCAGGTGTGTCAGGATGCAGGTGTGACCATGAAAGCGGGTAGTTACTGATGGTCTCATTAAGGTAAAGAGTGCTCGCGGGGTGCGGGACCTTATTCTCCACCGCCGTACGCAACGCCCCAAAGATGCGCTGGGGCATATACGGCACATTCGGTTCGGACGTGAGTGTCTCCGCACTACGCATGTCTGCGATGAAGTCATCGTGAATTGCCTGTATGCTTCTAGAACGCGTGTAGAATCCGTTCACCGCGCCGGTACGCCCGGAGTTCAGGATTTGGTAGAGCGCGACTTCAGCGCTGGCACGGCAAACAAGGTCTGCGACGCCGGCGACGTGATCCATGCCGATGGTATCTTTAAGAGGGTCGCTAGAATCGATTACGAAGATGCGAGCCTCATCGCTGGGGCGCTCGAAGTTGCCTTGATTGTCTTTGTTTATTGGGATCCATGGTACCTCTGCGTCGATTACGAGGATTACGTCTGCTGTGCTGAGCAACGGGGTGTGTGTGCCAGGTGCGAGGAAGGAAACGCCCACGAAGAATGGATGCGTGAGAGATACGTTGGTAGCGCTGGGGCAGGTCACGAATATAGGGATAGCCATCAGACGGGTGACCATCTCTAAGGCGGCGACAGCTGCAGGATTTCGCCCAATGTAAGACGTGATTATAAGCGGGCTGTTTGCTTGAGCTAGGGCGTCACCAATGATATTCACGGCTACAAGCACGATGAGTAAAATCCATGGTGATCATGACGATGTACCTGAGGGAGATAGCGCGCTTGGCTCAATCGAAGGCCATCTGTATAAAGATGCCGAGGAGTTGAAGAGTGATTCATCGATCTCTTTCTCTAATACTTCTCTGCGTGCCCAGAGATATACTGGACCTTTTGGTTCGCTTGTAGCACTGGGTTGTGCATTTCAGCTAATTTTGACTTTGAATGAACCCAATGAGCATACATTTGGAGGGCACGTCTGACAAGATGAGGGACATTTTCGGGTCCGTTTATCTGTGCAGTGAAACGCATGTATTGCCTGACAATGGCAGGTTGGTCGGGTACATCTACATGAAGATTCTGAGGTTTATTCTTCAACCAATCGAGTGGGTATCTTACCTTGCATCCAATGAATCCACTCGTTCCTTGACCCCTTCAACTCTCCTTCCATAGTAGACGGGGATGCACCAGCAAACACAAGGATGGGAACCTTTCCTCTGCTCGCATTATGGACAGCACCAGCCAGGGCCTATGACGTAGTGTTTGATGGCGATATCCTAGAAAGCCAAGTATATGACACTGACCTGAGTTCCGACGTCGACGTGTACAATGACTGCAGCGGGCGTGTTCGTAACCTGTACGAATGCCTGTGCTGCGCTCAATGCAGCCATTTCATTGGGGCAAGTTATTATTTCGACAGTAGTATCGCCATGAGCGACACGTTGGCGCTCGAGGTCTTCGAGGAGTGCAGGGTGATCGGAGCCCCAGTTGACGAATGCATGGGTGATGCCGACCTGTGCTAGGGTGTGGAGGAAGAGAGAAGATGTGGTGTACATTGTGGGCAACGTTGGAGAGCAGCGCTAAATCATGAAACGCAGGTGTGTATATATAGTGCTGATTATCCTGGGACTTGTGCCCAGTGGCATGGGATATTGATACACTTTCCTGGATTTACGAGCCGCACAAACACAATGCTGTGCGGAAAGTTGAGAAATCGAGGTTGGGTGGGTGGGAGATGCGATAAACAGTGACGAATATAAAAACATATAGAACAATATTCAGCAGTCGCCGAAATTTCAGTTCATGCCTTTGTCGGTTTAGCGAGATCTTATATCAAATGGAGAAGACTTTTACGATGTAGTAGAAAGGATACGTTCCGACAGGCTTGCAAAGGTTAGACTTCACTTATAATCTGGCATAGCGGCGGCCTGACCCGAACTCGATAAGCTATCTGGTGGATGATTCAGAAAACACAATGTAACGCACGAAATCCTTTGAGAACGCCCTCTGTCGACGTGGTTGCAATATCCACTCTGGCCCATGTTGACCGACCATCATAGAAAGGTTGAAGAGACGACTGTCGATTAGCACCCCCAAAGCGGTTACAAAGGAGCTCCGAAGAAACGTTGTAGCAAATGATCAAAAATGGGACTTGTATGACGTACGGCCGCCGGGACCAACCGTTCCGTCCTTATATATGTCAGGCGTGAACTCCTGAGACCACGCCAAACCATGTCATTCTCACAGAAATACCATCCACTCCCAACAGTCGATAAGGACGCTGGAGAGCAGGAATCTCTGCAACGCAGGGACCCTCGCAAAAGGAGATCTCTCCTCGTCATCGTTGTCATCATAATCATGTTTACTTCACTCCCTTTTGTACATATGATCAGGTCCAGGGGGCTCTGGGGTGCTTGTCATGGCTCGCAGCGTAACTCTTCTACATTGGCAAAGCTGCCTTCTCACTACACCTTACCATCGGGTGATAATATTCCCTCAGTTGCATTGGGTACGGCACTGGTAAATGCCTCAGCAAGTCGGTGTTGAACTCATCATTAATCGTACAGGTGTATGGCAGGCTGGCAAGGGGGAAGTCGGAAACGCTGTGAAAGTACATACTCCGCACTACCCCGAGTACTTACGCTCACATGCTTCTAGACCGCTTTGACAGCAGGGTATAGACACATCGATGGAGCCTGGATTTATCGTGTGCGTTTGACCCCTTTATCGTGACGAACCTCTTTGACGATAGTTGCAGAACGAGGAAGAAGTTGGTCAAGCTCTTAAAGCAAGTTCTGTACCTCGTGAAGAACTTTGGCTCACGTCAAAGGTAGTACCTTCAATTCAATCAGCTGGACCTCACATTGACCGGTAGCAGCTTTGGAACACTTTTCACGCACCTGAGGACATTGAGACTGCGCTAGACCAATCGCTTTCCATGCTCGGTACCGACTATCTCGACTTGTACTTGATTCATTGGTACGGCAGTTATTCACCCACTTGTGCGTCTTGCTTATTCCGAACAAGGCCTGTTGCATTTAAGACGGGCACTACCATTTTGGATGAGGATCTTACTGCCGATCCATATCCTACTTGGCAGAAGCTCGAAGAACTTGTTGACAAGGGTAAAATAAGGAACATCGGTATCAGCAAGTGAGTTTCATTCATGTTGAGTCAAACGGGTGCTGACATCTCACCAATAGCTTCAATATCAGAAGGTTCGAATGATCTCTGCTCCAAGTCAATCTTGCTCAAATCCAATTCAGGATCCAGAATTTGACCGCAAACAATCTGAAGTACCAGCCAGCTGTCAATCAAGTCGAGCTCAACTTTTGGAACCCTCAACCCGAACTATTGAAGGTATGTTTCCAGCTCAGGCAAGTAGACACTTGTGCTCGAGTTCATGAGCAATCCATAGTGGTCAAAGGAGAACGGGCTTCTTCTCGAGGCGTACTCTCCACTTGGTAGCGACAAGCAAGTCGGAAAGTCTCTTTCTGTCCCTGAGGTATCGTTTCACGTCATGGGGTCTGGACTTCGTCATCTAAATATACTTACAGGTAAAGAGCATCGCATCCCAACTTGGAATCACCCCGGCTCAGGTGATTATCTCGTGGAGCGTCCAGCGCGGTGTATGTCCATATCTCTGTAACATTGTGTCGTGACTCACCTTTCCAAACCTCGATAGACGATCGTCCTACCGAAGAGCGTAACACCTTCTCGCATCGCAGAGAACCTTGAAGGTGAGAAGGTTTAAATTTTTGTTAGACAGTGCATAGTACTCACTCACATATGCCCTCCAGTATTCGAACTCCCACAGGAAGACTTTGAGAGGTTGGAGAAAGCAGCAACTTCGCACACTCCGCAGAGAGTGGTCAACCCGAGCGCGGGTTGGAAGTTGCCTTTCGATGTATTTGATGGGCAGTGAAAGATGTGTCGCCAGATGTTGTTCGGTAGACGATTCTTGCTACTATACCACCTCTAGGCTCTTACAGTGCAGCGTCAACGTTGTTGGCAATAGCCCAATTACCAAGCTTACAGAAACAGCTGTCCGACATAGCACTGTTGAAATGCGAGAATAGCGAAAGTTCGTCTGAAGAGTGCAATAATGTAGTAGGTCCGACTGCAAGAAAAGCTCACAGTTTACTTGACGGCTCGGGTTTCCGCAAAGATGTCCTACAATTGAGGATTGACAGGTTAGCTTGATAATCGTCCCGCCGCCATACTCTAATGCGAGGTACATATTTTGTATATTTTCCACGATAAGTTCAAACACAAAACGCACTTGATCAATTACACAAAGTTCAGGGACTCGTGTTAATTTTGATCCTGTGAAGACCAAAGCTTGAAGATTGAATACTGAAATACCATCGGTCCTGGAAACACACAGCCACTTTGTAGGGACCCTAAGTTGACCCTAAGTCTAGGAAAATTCTTTAGATCAGCTGCCCCAGGTGCAACGTGTGGTGACGACTCGGATATGGATATGCTGCACCGCCCGCACACACATTAAGAGTCGAAGACAGCGAGTCTGGACATGGATAGGGAAGCAAGGTGTGAATGGAGAATGAATTAAGGATGGTTGTTACGACCGTCACGGTAGATGCTTGCACACAGGAAGATGCGCATAGCGCGAGTCCCAGGACTCGAGCGCTTCACACCTGTGAAACGAACATGATTTAGAAGAATCCCCTTAGAGATCACTTGAATGAAAATTTACCTGGCCTCCATTATCTGTTCTGTCTTGACACTGATCCGTTCTTCAACATTGGTAGTTAGAGTATGTGTGAGTGACTTGGTCTAACTAGCATTTCTCGTGAGTGATGCCATCAATGAGCTCAAGCCTCGAGGTTGCCTCCGAGTAGTGTAGGGGGCAGAAGTATTTTGGGGCGAGTTCTGCCAAAAAAACGGCAGAACGGCAATTGGCAGAATGGCAAAAGTCGGCAGAATTGTTTTGAGGGTTTCTGTGTGTTCTAGTAAGATAACAGCAAAAAAATTATCTAAGCTATTGCATGGATGCTACATCCTCTGATGTCAACAGCGCATTGATGTTCCAGCCTGCCTCCGTGCCTTGTGACCCACGGCCAACCACATCAATCTCTTCGACAAACCCTGCAGGTGTAATTCCTTTATCGACTTTCTCCAGCTCATCCCAATCAATAATATCTCCCCCGAAAATATCTGGGACTTCGCCAGTACCTTCTTGCAAGCCTCGTGACTCCAGCATCTCGTTTTCAAATCTGTCAAATTCTTCGAGCAGCTCCTCATCTGTAATTGACTCGGGACCTGCAAGAAATTTGTCATCTGAGTTGCGAGAGGCACCAGCGAGTGGTGGCACCCTATTCTGGTCAAGAATATGCTTGAGATGTTTGTCCTCACGACCTTCTATAGACGTCGAACAGTAGTTGCATTTGTAAAAATAACGGTTGGATGAATTTTGGACTTTTTGATCCTGGATAAAGTGGTTGGTGATGATTTTTCGAGTAGGGCGGCCCGTAGACTTTTTCGAGGACATATTGGCATGCACGGAGGCTCAGATACACTTATTCGAAGTCAAACATATTCTATTTGATGATAGTACAAATAAGATTCACATTGACTTCTGCCGACTTCTGCCCAACACCCTCGACCTACTGCCGGCAATTGCCATTGGCAGAATGGCAGACTTCTGCCAACAACACTACCTCCGAGTCGAACTTTGATGTGCAAAATCGTAACATTATATAAGCTTTTGAACCTTAATGCATATAGCCACTCGAACTAAATCCCCACCCAATCCCCACCGCACCTTTTCGAAACTTCAATGCGCAATCTGGAAAATGGAACCGACACATAAAATCCTACGTCTATAATGCAAAATCCCTTTTTCGAGTCGGGCCTGGACTCCCACTACCCGTAGCAGGCTTCTACGTGAGTGAGGCCTCGTCTCGTGTATCGAAAAAAAAGTTTGCCTATAAGTGTAGACTCACTCAATTTTTCGCCATTGTCAGATAACTTGTTCGGATTCAATTATCCCGGGGAGCATTCATCCACTTCACAGATCACGAGCGTCAACCATGTGTTTCATGACCACTGTGATGCAAGAGATGCTAGTGCTTACGCCCTCTAAGACGATGTGTGGCCGTGCCAGCCCCATACGAGATGCTGTGCGCATGTCTGGTGGCATTACGAGCGAACATAGCCCGGGATACTACAATCGCTGGCGAAACCATGTGGTGCCGATGTACAGCCCCGACTGGCTATTCTCACTATTGGTGATACTTCGCTCGGCAGTGCTGCCATGTGCGAATGCTCCCGGAGTCGAGTAAACTGTGTATCTTGGCGCTAGCTGAGCACTGCGTCCTGATGGATATGGTCGATTCTTGGTTACAGATCAACGAGCCGAGGTTGCGGGTTTTCACAAATTAAACTATATTCACATAACTTATGATCCTCCAGACGAAGCTGGAGAGTCTCACCGGACAAAATTTAGCAGGATAGTGCACGCGTTTTCATAGCATTGTTATTAGTGCGTCCTTCAGGTTTGGAAAGGGACGCTAATTACAGTTTTTGACGCTTACTAGTAAGTACGCGTGCGTAGTAATCGAGTTTAATGTCGTGTGTGACGATGACAAATGTGAGTGTGTCGACATCAGATGGCGTTGGCTTTCTAGCTCAGTGGCTTGTCACTGCTGTGGGCAACCACAAAGTAATAAACTGTGTTACGTCCGCACATGTGCCGTACTAAATCAGTACTTCACATTAATATCAGCTAGCTACTAGATGCCATCAACTGAAACTTCAAAGCTTGGCATCAGGACCAGCAGGGTATTTCAGGCTTCATGAATATGCAAAGATATGGAAATTCCATGGGTACATACAACATAGTCTCGTTCGTTCAATGTATCCACAAAAGATCAGCGGAAGCAAATGATTCCCTCAGGCCATGCAAACTCCAAAATTCATGTTGCAAGACTCCTGAGTGTAACATACAAATTACGACGCATATCAAATGCGTTATCCCCACGTGTTTGTCCGGTCCCACCGTCGTGAGCTTAGTAGTTGGCATCTTGTTCAATGAGACCAAGAGCCGTTAGAGAGCGAGGCTTGATAGAACACTTAAAGGGCTTGGAGTGGCTTTGGAGGGCGTCATTCCAGGCCCATCCCAGATATGACAAAATATACGACATACCTCACCGTTCCTGACAAGGGTTCAACCTCGGGGGTGATCTCAACACCATTCTCAACAACCTTGGAAATATCAAACACGGCCAGTGACATCACAGTGGATATCCAAATGGAAGCATCAGCAAGGTGGCGACCTGTACATCAAAAACAAGCAAACATCAGAATCCTGTTAGTTGATTGATGCGATCCAGATATACCTGGGCAAATACTATGGGGCAGAAAGTTGGCATTCCGATAAATTCAGAACCAGTTTTATGCTTACCGTCTACCAAAGCCGAAGCATATTTTTTGAGGCTCCGTCTCAGGTTCCTTTCCATCCTTAGCCAAGAAGCGTTCAGGATTGAATTGCGATGGGTTAGCATATGTCCGCGGATCGTTAAGCATGAACCTGTCGAAACTAAGAGCATTACATTCTATTCATCAATGGAAGGAGGGCACCGACCAAATGTTAGGCATTATTAAGGAGCCTTTTGGAATATAGTACCCATCGTGGATATCGTCTTCAGTCACACAGTGGGGGACACCTGTCATTGAAATACCCGTCATCAAATAACAGTATCGCAAACGAGATCTAAATACCTGTAGGAACGGTAACATGCCAGCGGAGGACTTCTTTGACAAGTGCCTCGATATAGGGGAGGGACTCACGGTCGGCCAAGGAGGGAAGACGGTCAGGACCGATGACCGCATCTATCTCGGCCTGAGCTTTCTTCTGCACATCAGGGAAAAGTGTCATAGCTAGAAAAAGCGAGTATATCGAAGAAAGAGTCTGAAAAAATAGGTGTAGTACTTTCAGAAGATGATGATTAGAAAGATGAATATGTAGGGACAAACCGTATCGGCACCGCCGGTGTATAGGGAAAAAGCAGACCATTTCGCGACGTGGTCTTCTTCCGCAGATACATCACCGCCTTTCAAGAGACTTGAGGTAAAAGACACAGGAGCGATGCCAGCAACCTGTAAATTTAAACTTCAATACATGACCGCAAAACTACAAACCTGAAAATTGGTTACCATCTGGTCCTTGACGAACTTGTGAGATGCAGAAACTATCTCTTCGAGGGCCTCACGCCATTCACGTGCTGTACGCTTGAAACCAGCACCAGGAAACCACGCGGGGACCTTTGCCACTAAAATTTTCAGGTCATCAGGAGCCAATGCAAACGTCAGAATAACATAGCTCACAAAATGGTACAATATCGACCATAAAGGCACCAGGAGCCAAGGCCTGGGAACCATGGGTTATGACGCGGTCTGCACGGTCAACGAGGGGATCATTGTCCTCTTCCACTTCGTAACCATGAGAGATGCGAAAAATGACAGCACCAGCAGTACTATTGTATAATTTCAAAGATAGTAACACTGTGAGGATAGATAGCACATACTGTTGGACATGCTCCTGCAGTCGGTCCGGATTCGCAAGCACACGCTTGAGGAACCGGTGAGTCTCAACCTCCTCGATCACATTGTATACATCCACTGCGGCACGGGTACCAATGACCTGATGAAAGTTCCTGCGATACAGGCGAAAACGGTCGCCATATGGGAGCAAAGGCAAAGAATCCTTCCAGCCAACAAGTTCTCCGGCCATAGGAATAACAGGACGGTCAGAGTATAAAGTGCTTTTGCTGTCCATCATTTCCATTGCAGTCTTAACAGAGTTCAGCACGATGATGTGCCGACCCTGAACCTCGATGTGGGTAATATCACCTGCAGAACAGACTTTTAAAGATGCATGATTTTGGAAGAAGGGAGGCACTCACCATACTTCTGACCCCACTCAGTAAATGTCAGCCAGGGTTTGGTGCGAGGCATATCTAAAATATTGCCGATGAGAGGCCACCCCCGGGGACCAGGTGGATATGGTGCAAGATTCTTCTTGAGGACGAAGGTCTGCTTTACCAAATAAATTCCAACTGTAGCAACACCGGTAAGGCATAGTAAGTCCAGCCAAGTAACACTGGTGGTTGTCAACATGGTCTACTACTAGCCAAGGATGGCTCAGAGCAACTCAAGAACAGCGGATGTGGAGCGAATGATCAGATGAGCAGGAGACATCTTGTATTTAAATCAGAATGAATCAGCAGGTAACACATTGAAATGAGTGGTTCCCTGAGGCCGTTCAAGTTCCCAACTCGCTGCCTGGCAGGACTTACCTTATGTTAAAGTTCTCGGTTCGAACTCTTGCTGAACCGAAATCGGACCATTGTCGGACCGAACCGGCTGCAAACTCCGCGCTCTCATTTGCACGAGGAGTCCATCTTCATCGTATTTGGTGATACCCTCATTGTATGTTTCTTCATCTTGTTTTTTTTTTCACAGTTGACTTGACAACTCTGCACCCTGTCCCATCGTCCCTCTCCCCCTCGTCGAAAACCCCACTCTTGGGACATTTAGATGTTTACCGCAACGGTTCGGCGCTCCTTTTTTGGTCTCAAAGCACACTAGCACCGATGACCATCATGGGCGTCGACCAAAATGCTATTACTGTGTTGAAAATACCTCAAAATGGAACACTGAAAAACCAACGCGTTAACGACGACCGAGTAAGTACCAGTACCCGAGGCCCGAGGGTCCTGATTAAATAAGATGGAGCTCTCAAAGTTCTTTCGGGTCCCTCCAGGGTAACTTTGCGTTTCAAGTAACGATAAGGTATCAAACTTTGAGCTCAAAAAGCTTCATAAATCAGGGGTGCAGTGAGTTTCTGAATCAATCCTTGTGCTTCAGTTGATCAAACCTGTGTAAGTATTATGTGATTTGAGTAAAGACCGAATGATGTACGTGATTCGGACTCCGAGGAATAGAGCATGATCATTACTGAAACTACCGTCTCAGGCATCGGAGGTGCAACTCTATCTTTTATCAAGTCGCTTCCCGGCTGGTAGATAATTGCCGCCAGCCTCGATCCAAGCAAGCTAAGTTCAGACCCGAATAATATGATCGGTGTTTGCACTGGCACTGCCGCCTTGACGTGTGCACAGGCAGCACAGCTCATTCATCTTAAGAGCTAAGAAGGCGCACGATGTGTGTGTATGTGTGTGAAACACATTCTTGACCTCTAGATGGAGTATTCGACTGACGATATTGCAGCAGCGAGGAGCTTGCAGTTCACTATGGTCTGTATCCTTGTTGATATGAGGGCTAATCACAATTGACAAGTTGTGTACCATTGACACCAGTATATATACGGTGCGTACTGTCTCAGCCCTGTATCCTTTGTCCTGACACAGTTCAAACTTCAGCGTCCATGACCACATTCTGGGTAGGCTCATTCTCATTCATCTAATTCCGCTGTCGAAATCGCTTATCCAGACCTACGATTATGTATGTTCGCTTCATGAAGAGGTAATATACTTGTTCCATGATACACCTCAGTTTTGATATCCACAATATGCTGTGCACAGTTGACGTTCTTGCTTCGATCGCACTGGACCAAGATGAAAGTTCTGTATATCGTTACGCGATACCTCCCTTTTATCATTCTCGTCACGGGTCTATATCGTGCGTTCCGCTTCAGCACATATCGCCCAATGATGAGTTAACACTTGTTTTTCAGGGAGCTTTGTGCCGAATGAGAACACAGGTGTACGTGATGCGGTGAATAGTCAATGAAAACGAACGACTTATTGCATGCCTTCACCAGAAATGTCGGGTACTGGACAATATTGAATTAGGTATGTGCATGGTACATTCATGCATGCACGTCCTCACCGAAAGCTACTACTTTCATCTTACAGATCTTGGCGTAGTATTAGTCATTTGCTCCGAATGTATCTCTCGTTCTTCCATACTATATGTGTTTCTGATCCCATTTATTCAGGTTTTTTCATCTTCAGAACATATGTGCTCTGGGAAAAAAATAGAATATTGCTCGCAGCCATGCTTTCCACCTTGTTTGTGAGTTCCTAAACCATTTACCATACCCAACCTAGTGGTAAATGCATCAGCCAGATTTCTCTCGTAGCATCCTTCGGCATTACCTCTACCGCTGCTGCTGCTGCTGCATGTACATACTCTCACCTTACCTCTTATGTTCCACAGTCACTGAAAAATCCCGTTCGGTTTCACAGATGCGACTAGCGCGGTCCCGGGCATCACAGGATGCTACCGGAAATCGTCCAATTACCGGCTCTTCATACCATTTATTCTCCTTTTCGTGTTCGAACTGGGTGTGTAACACATATATGTACAAACACGCACTGACAGATGTTCTCCCCAGGACTCCTGATGCTCACACTCATACGTGCCATACACGACTGGCGGACAAACCAAAACCGTCTGTATGCTGTCCTGGTGAACCATAACGTATTCTATTATGCATGCGGTCTTCGTGAGTTAACACTTGTACGCGCCGTTTTTCCCTACTCATCCTCGATCATCATCTTTTCTGAAGTGTTCTCGGTAGCGAATATCATCACATCGCTGGTCCTTCAGGTGTGTGAATCCATTAAATACCTTTTTTGACCGAACCGTTGACGTTCTGCACCCCAGTACTTCTGTCATAGCGTTTCGTATGAGTATGTACCTTCACATCCTGCTGCGTCTTCCTACTGACGATACCTGAAACGTACACCCACGTATAGTTTTCAGTTCATTATTCTTGCAATCCTCGCCACTCGCATGCACCTCCATCTCTGGCAGACGAACCAACATTCACATGGCTCTACTGGCGCCTTCATGTATATTCCAATGTCAGACACGTCATTCTTAAATGTCGCAGCGTGATGTCTACTATTCTGTGGCTTATTCGGTGACGTTCGTGGAGCGAGGCTTGGCCCATACAAGATGATTGGGATTGGTAGGGGTAGGCTTGGTAGAATTTATTACATGCTTAAATTATAGGATGAGTCGGTTACGGGATGACGGGAGTATTTCGATGTCATTGGTCTATTTAACATCCATATTTTCCACTGTAGCAAGGGCAGCATGGCTGTTTGCTCTGCTTCTATCCGAAAACTTCATGAAGTCAGGCAACGTCTCGAACTCAGTTAGCGAGACAGTTACCACGACGCTCTTGAGGGAGTTGAAGACTGTTTAATATTAGTGGTACTCAATAACTTTTGAAACATCTTAAAACTCGCTTAGACACCCATCTAAACGCTTTGAACTCTCGCTGAGGTTTGAAAACAACCCGCTTGCAAGAGAAACATGCTCAGCGCCATAGGGACGAAGCCGGACCTTCAAAGACTTGTTATTTATCAAAAGCGTGCCATAGCCTATGTACATATAGGGGACAGTCGTACTTGAGAGAGTGCAAAAATAACCACCAAACTTATCAGCGGGACGTATTGCGCTACAGCGTGTTACAGGGTGCTACAAAGTGCTACAAAGCACTCTGTAGCAAATTATGTTTCCCTGATTTGAAGTTGAACTTCACTGAGATTGTCTACTTTGCACGACTCAATTAGCTACCCTAACTAAATTGGTGGTACTACGCTCGGGAGTGCTACTATGCATGATATATATGCTCCTGGAGTCGAGCAAACCGTGTATTTTGATACTCACTGACGGATGTGGTGTGCATGGTTGATTCTGGGTTACAAATCAGCAAACCGAGGTTAACGTTGAACCGAGGTCATGGGTTTCCACGGTGGCCGCTAGAGTGCCAATATTTTTTATAACTTAAGCTAATCTACAAGATTGAAAATGATACTAGGCAACTTCACTACCAACAACTCGAAGTCTCGAACGTTCTATCTGGAATTATGGAACCATTGCGGCGCGCGGGCTTCATCCGTTTCCAGACAGATTGATGGCCATGTGCTGTCAGAAGACACCTGGGGGAACAATCAAACATTATAACTGACATGATCATCCGTGATCATAGTCAGCAGGTCAGCAAAGCATTAACTCGTATCAGAGATCATGTGTTGCCATACTATGACGAATGATTTGTGGCCCACTCTGAACTGACGTGTTTCAGAAACGAGTCATAAATAATCCGTCATAAATACCAGGACGTATAAGTATCAAGTATACGAGACACATTTCAATCATTCTCTCACTAAATCATCTCCTACCAGTGTCTGCGAGCTTCTCACATGTCAACTGACGCACTCTCCAAATCCACTCTCGATGATGGTGTCCGTATATTCCTTCTGTCACGTTGTTATGCCCTGAATATTCTCTAAAATATAGGTTATAGCAAGCATTCGTCAGAACATTGCCAATTTTCTTCGGCGTTGCGGTTTGCAGTATATAGACGTCGCAGTCGACGAAGCATACCACTCTGAATGCTGCCAGGAGGCTATCAACCGTGGCTTTCCGATGGACGGGAAATATTCCATCCGCGAATACATGGAGATCGGTGTGGCCATGTCATCTAACGCTTACGCGCACCTTCCTGACAACGCGGCCAAAATGTGGATGTGCCTCTTCACTGCTGTCGCCACCCGCGTCGATGACGTGATGGTCAGGGGAGAGGACATGGCGGATATGTACCATTTCAATGAGCGGTTTGTGAACTGCAGACCACAGGGTGATCCTATCCTAAATGCGCTCGATGTGATCTTGCGTGAGATCACTCGCTTTCATTCCCCGCTGGTGTCGGATCTTATCACTGCGTCCACAATCAACTTTATGTCCGCCAACTGCCTTGATGATGTGACTAAAGACATGCAGGTATGGTGTATATCTAAATAATATTGAATATCATAATTTTACCCCTATTATTAGATCTTGCCAAGACTCCCTTGTACCCAGAGTATTCTAGGCTCCTAGGAGGCTTGACAGATGGATATGTGTTATTCATGTTCCCTTCCACGCTCCCAATTCAGGAATACATTCAATGTATGCCGGATCTAAGGACTGTCGTGAATCACACAAAGTAAGCACATCAATGACTTCCTGTTAGGCTTCCTAACCTGTTGTCATTCAGTGATATACTATCTTACTACAAGGAGGAGATCGGCGGTGACACCGCAAACTACTTGTCGCTCATGGCAGCCTCTCGTGCTTGCACTAAACAGGATGCTCTGCATGACTTAATCGAGAAAACTGTGCAAGCGCATCACAATATCCTCGACTGTCTCAGACCTTATAGTGAGGCTTATGACGCCTATGTCTGTTTTTTTGAAGGGTATGTCAAATTTCATATTGCCTTAAAAAGGTACAAGATGAAGGAGATCATGGCCGAGATGTCCTCCCCTTCTTAGTGTGATTCGTTCCGACTTTCTAGAATGTTCTTCATCATATCTTGACTTAGTAGCCACTTGCACAGCACCTGTTAGCAGAGCGTTACTTGACTCATTTCTTGTAATAAGAGGCGGTAGAGGCTTACCATGCCAGGTGCATCAAGCGCACCCGAAGTTCCATTACGGACCTGTTTCGTACCTTTTCTTCGTCGTGCTGTCTCTTGTCGATGTTTTCTCTGTACAATTCTATATGATATGTTCAAAGGCAGTATGATATTGATCGAAGAAATATGACAGAGTGAACTAAGCAACCAGTACGATACGAGGCCATCGATGTATGAAGGAAAAAGATAGTAGTTGCTAAGTAGCTCACACTGAAAACTCAACGCCCAGGATGTTGAAAAACACCAAAAGCTTCTCCTGCCGCAAAAATAGTCCTATAAGTTAAGCGTCTGGCGAGCTCTACCAAGCCCACCAATCATCTCGTACAATATACACCTCGCTCGACAAACGATGTCGAGTAATAATGTGTCATGCCGTACACTCTACAGGTGACATGTCAGACATAGGAATTTGCATGAGTGCATCAGAGCCGCGTGTTTGATGCTTCATCTGCCAGAGATGGCGGTGCATACGCGTGGCGAGGATCGCGAGGACAATGAACTGGAAACTGTACGTGAATGTGCGTTTGAGGCATCGTCAATAAAATGTCATGAGAGGTTGTGGAGGTACATACTCATGCAATATAGCGTGGTAGGAGTACTGGGTGTGCAAAACATGAACGACTCAAACATCAAAGGCATTATGGAGATATACGCACATGGAGGAGCAGTGACGTGAATATGTTCGCCACAGAGAACACTCGAGGAAAGAGAATGAGCATGGAATAACGGCGCGTGCAAGTATTAACTCACAAAGACCACATGTATAATAAAATATGTTATGGTTCACCAGGACAGTGTACTACGGTTTCTGTTCTGCTGCCAGCTCTGTATGGCACGTATGAGTGTGAGAGTCATGAGTCCTGGGGAGTATCTGTCAGCGTGTGTTTGTCTATATGTATACTCGTGATCACCCACCCAATTCGAATGCGCACAATAAAAGAAATGGTATGAAGAGCTGGAGACTAGTCGAGCTCTGGTAGCACCCTGCGATACCGGGGATCGCACTGATTGCATCTGCAAAAGTGGAGATAATTGTTGAATGGTAGTGGAATGCCAGGGGATAAGTAAGAACGCGTACATGTTGCGGGAGCAGTAGTAGCGAAGGTAACGCCGATAGATGCCCCGACAAAAGTCTTGTTTGATGCATTAATAGCTAGCTTGGGTGTTGCTAGTGAAATTTGGACTCACGAAAGCGGTTACAAGAATGGCTGCGAACAAGATTCTATTGTTGCTCCAGAGCGCGCATGTTCTTAGAATGAAAAAGCCTGGATGAATCTGATCAGGAACATACATATCGTAGTGAGGAGGGAGGGATACATTCGGAGCAAACAGCTAATAGCATGCTGAACCCTGTGAGAGAAATTGGACTGCCCTCAACGAGACAGCGCATAGATGGATATGCCATGCACGTACCTGAGCAAATATTGTCCAACACCCGGCATTTCTGGCAAAGTCAAGCAGTAAGCAACAATCATCCCACATAAAGTCTCGATTGTATGTTCACATACACCTGGGGTTTCATTTGGGATAAAACTCACTGCATGACGACATGTTAGTTAGTTCATTTGGCGGGCGATGTACGCTGGAACTGAACGTACAATATAAATTTGTTGCGAGAAGGAGAAAGGGGACATCGCGTGACGATATAAAGGCCTTTCGCCTTGGTCCAGTGCGACAAAAGCAGGAATCTCCACTTCAAATCAAAGCAACATGAGATCCGGGGCATATCACGGAACCGGTGCATTACCTCTTCGTGAAGCGAACAAGCATAATCGTAGGTCTGGATATGCTAGGTTAACAGTCGAAGAGAACTCATCAGGACACACCCACCCAGAAAGTAGTTAGAGAAACTGAGCTGCGTTAAGACGATAAAGATCGAGTTCAGACAGTACGCACTGTAAATGTACTGATGCGCACATGAATTATTCGTCTTCTTATCGACAAGAAAGAAACGCACCTGGAAGAACAGCAAACTCATCGCTGCCGCGATATCATCAGCTGAATAGTCTGTCGACATTCCGGGTCGTTCAAGAGGTGATTGTTAACTTGGGTTTACGCCCCCTTCTGACTCGGAACTCTTATAAGAACGCATATATGCTATGCAGTTAGGTAACACAGAGTTTATTTGGGAACTCACATGTCACCGCGCTTGCTGTACTTGTCCACGTTCAACTTGAAGCTGGAGGGATTTGGTGGATTTCAAAGCTCTAATCTGTGAGACTAAACTTCTCCACGTAGGTCGCCCTAGTACTTATTGGGTTCTCGTTAGCTTTTTTTGAGGGAGTGCCAATCATTCTGCTCAACGTTCGTGAATGAACGGATATCTCATGTGACGGCAGCCATCAACGATTGACGCTGAGCTGTCAAGTAGACTCGAGTTATAAGATGCGGCGCAGACAGTAAGCACTGGCCCATCTGACAGTTACACGAGTTCAATGACCACCCATAAATTGCAATGAGCGAATTCCGAAGCGTTGTGCTGCCTCAAGTCAGTAGATACGGAGTCCTGAGTTTTCTTTGGTTATAGACGACTCACAGCCTCATATGAGACGTTCAAGTGATGCGATCAAAAACGTTTCCCAAACTCCGGCAAACACCTTAGTGTGATGTGTTAATGTCAACAAGTTTGGGACCCGCTTGATAGTGAGCACAGCGTGAGAAACATTGACGGACACAGAAACCACTTGGAGGTGCTCATGTCCCAGATTTTGGCCTCCATCCTCAAAGTTTCAATGCCTCAAGATATCTGCAGCGAAACAGTTAAGTCAACCTCCCATCTCAGTCGAACAAACATTTCATTGCTCATAGTACAGGTCGTCTCGCTCGGCTCTAAAACGACGACACTGCACAGCTCTGTCAGTGAAGCGTTATTTGACTGATGCTTTCCTCACTCCGTATATTAGACAGCTCGATAACCACCTTGTTACCACCGCTCTAGGTCGCAGGCAATATGATATTGGATATACAGCCGGGCCCGCGGGGCATTTCGATCTGGCTAATGGAACGTTTCGTGTGAGCCCTTGGTTATACAAAATTACAGATTACTATGTCTCTCTTGTCGTCATTCTACATAAACTATAATACTCATCGCTATCAGGCCGTGCTTCTGACTCTAGCACGTTCGATCATGAATAATTCGTCCACGCTGCTCATACCAAAAGCCCAACGCCCAGGATATGAAACAGAACTATTAAGTAAAGGCGTCTCCCGCTCCAAAGCAGTCCTAAGCGTTAAGCGTCTGGCGAGCTTTACAAAGCGCACCACACTCATCTCGTACAATACACACCTCGCTGACAAAACGACGCCGAGTAAGCGACCAGGTAGATGTCACGCGCGCACATTCTCCAGGTGGCACTGGCACGTCGGGCATAGGAGATTGCACGGGAGCATCAGATTGAGACATCTGTTGCTTCGTCTGCCAGAGATATCGGTGCATACGCGTGGTGAGAATCGCAAGAATAATGAACTGGAAACTATACATGAATGGGCGTTTCAGGCATGGTTAGTAGAATTGCGCAAAAGCTTGTGAAGGTACATACTCGCGAAGTATGGCATGGTA